TTCATTCAAAATTTTCTGTAGTTGTAGTCTCTATAACGTGTACTTTATTCATATGTTGAGTCTTACTGTCAAATCTGCTTCCACTTTTCTTATGCCACAACTTTCAAAACTTTTCTTTACTTAGATCTTTTGCTGAGCTTTACTTTTTAACCTGGTTCACCAATTTTTTTATGGGATCACATAAAATCAATTATTCTTACATTTTTACAAGATTTTTTATTTAACAAGTCTTATAAGAAGTCTTTCAGATGTTTAACGTTAGCAACTTCGATCACATCTGGGATGCCAGAACCTAGTCAGCATGGATCACTTTTCAAATATTAATAGTAGACCAATATTAATTAGTAGTCATTGACCATCCTCTCTCCTGGGAGGAAGATAACTACTACTATGGTTGAATTAATTTCAATCCCCTTCTGCAATAGTCCCTTCTTCTTATTTGACCAGAGGTATGATGGCATTTGAATTGGAAAATTACAAAATATCCGAGGTTACCAGCCAGCACAAAATGTTTTAAGTGGTTTTCAGGGGTGCTGAGTTAAAATATTTGGTCTATTTTTAACAAAGTTTGATTGGTTGGCAGATTACCATTTAATATTCAGCTATGAATGAAAAAGTTTGTTAGTGCTAACAATAAAAAATATCTTAAAAACATCTTAAAAAACTTAAGATATTGTATTTTCAATTGCTGTCTATTTGACCAATGAAACTGTGCCATTTCATACCATTTGAATATTGCAATAAACATGACAATGGTAGACTAAAATAACCAAACTGTTTATATGGTTTTCATTTTAACATTTGTTATAATATAGTATTTGATTTATATAACTACAAATATTATCTTACATGAGAGTTTATTACACAAAGTGACCAATATAATACATTTTAAAAATTCTTTAAATTGTATACAGTAGAGGAAGAAATTTTTTAAAATGTGTTAGATTGGTCACTCGATACAATAAACCCTCATGTAAGATAATGTTTGTAGTTATATAAATCAAATATTATAATATAATAGAAGGGTTAGAAGTACAAAATAATTTAATAATCTTAATGTTTGTACTTATTTTTTTCCTGGGCAATGCCAGGCTTACCTGCTAGTGTATTATATTTCTATACTACTTATGAATTAGCAGTTGCATTAGGTGAAAATTTTATTGAATTTGCATTAAAAAGTATTTTATTTGAAAAGTTTAACTTGGCTTCTCCAAGATTAAATTCTGAGTGTACTACTCAGTGGCGTAGCGTGGGTGTCAGCTGCCCGGGGCGGAGGAAAATTTTGCCGCCCCCATATTTAGGTCTCTCAATTTAAAAGACTAAAATTCAGTTTCGTCACAGAATAAGTAATGAAAAATTCCGTGCTCATTTTAATCAGTCCGAATCGTAGGTGCAACAAAAATATGAAATGAAATGGTTCAAATTTTTACAAGATATTATTATTATTTATTGTGAAATTTTGCCGCCCACTAAAAGTGCAACCCCCACTTCGCTATGCCACTGGCACTACTGATATGGTTACCAGACTACCAAATATGGTTGCCATTTGTTTAGAATTGTACAGGACATCATGTATTTTAAGTGCAATATATTGTTATTATTATTATCATTATTAGTACTAAACCAATATTCTAATATAATATAATGGATGTATTGTTAATATATTTCATACATTTCAAGTTTTTGATAGTTTGAAGTTGTCTCATTCCTGATCAACTTGAATTATCAAGACTCTACTATATTACATTATCTTCAAATATATTAATCAATAAATTGGTTAATGTGTTTTAAGATAATGAAATGAAATTAATTTTATGGTAATTTTATATTAATTTATTGTATTATATTAGTGGATACTACGGTTTGGGTCCCAGGACGTCTCATGTCTTGAAGTCCCTGGACTTTTTCTAAATTTAATTGTCTAAGGTACCGAGACTTTCGGGTCAAGACTCAAGACAGGCTTATCGAAATTGTATTGTAATAATTTTATTTTCAAAAGGTTAGCCAAGTGATGCTTCTTTTGTTCTCCCTCCTGTTTACAAATAAACAATGCAGGTGGGGGTAATTTACAAGGCCATGTGACTTTTAACCTTACTCTGTTAAGAGGCAATCTTTACAAATGCGTTCGCCGCCATATTGTTATTTTATGACGTTTGTTTATGAGATTGTGATATTTGTGACTGTCTTTGTCAGTACTGTCAGCTCAGTCAGTCAGTTGTCAAATTCACTTTATGAGGTGAAGTGCTGTGTGCAGTTGTGTTATGACGCTCTTGTGGAAATGATGTCCATCTCATGTAAGTTTAAACAAACAATAGATTTTGTTTACTTCAGTTAGACGCTTTCCTTGAATGCGATTTGTTATTTTATTAAAAAAAATAATTGATATGATAGTGATACTCAGTAAACAAAGATATAACATTAATTTTGGATTATTATTATTGTTACAGATTGTCAACAAATTTAAATAGATACCAACCTATTCATTTAATATAGAATATATAGCAAAAGTGTGGAAACATTATAAAAAAAATAAACAAATCAACCGCACAGTGATCATTATTTCCAAAACAAATTTCATGTAAAGGGTCGAATACTACAGGCCTTGACAGGCACCTGCAAAGTTCACAATATTTTTGTAAATCACCTGGAAAAATCAAAATCAGTTATACAGCCTGGAACATCTTGCAAACCGAAATGTAAAAAAATTAAAACTAAAAAGCAGTCTACAATAATAGGATATGTTGCAAAAAAGTCTTTGCCTGAAATAATTTCCCGCTTGGCAGCAGAGGATGGACTTACAATAAGGGCAATCACAAAGAGTAAATTCATTCGTGAGCATATTATCCAGAGAGGTTATAAAATGCCTAAGAACGAAACTGATGTCATGAAAATCATATTGAGTTATTATGAAGAGAGAAAAGAAGACATGATTCAGATTTTAAAAGATTTTGTGGCTTATGGTACACATTTCAGTCTTTCAGTTGACGAATGGACCAACGTCCGAAACCGGAGGTACAGTACTTTAATTTGTGTCTGCATAGTGTGAACGGAGAAGTTTTCAATTTGGGATTAGTGTATATACCCAGAAAGTGCACTGCCAAAGAGACCAGACTAATAGTCGAAGATACATTGAAAAAATTTCAATTGGATTTTGAAAAACATATTGTGGCCACCACCAGCAATGGTCCAAACGTAATGAAGTTTGGAAGGGATAGCCCCAGCGAGATGATCCTATGCTTGAACCATGCAATACATCTAGGAGTTGTAGACACATTTTATAAAAAAAATCAGAATATTGCCACATTCGCAGCTTCTACCTCCGATGATACTGATGATAGTGATGATGAAATCATGAAGAACAAAAACTCTTCTGATGAAGAAGAGGACTGCAATGCCAGCTATGAAACAAAATGTCCATTACAACCAATTGATGAAATTAAAAGAGTGCTTGATGAAACTCGAATCCTAGTGAAATTGTTTAGGAAGAGTCAACTGAAAAACAGCCAATTACAGAAATATGTTAAATCAGAATTTGGAAAAGAACTCAGTTTACTACTGCATGTCAAAACGAAATGGAATTCTATAATTGTAATGGCAGAAAGGTTTTTGAAGCTCAAAAATTGCATAAAGAAAGCGTTGATTGATTTAAACATGTTAGACAAATGGAATGAAGACAATCTTCTTCTTTTGCAGTCAATCGTTACTTTATTGCAGCCAGTCAAGATAGCTGTAGAAGCCTTAAGCAGACAAAACTCTTCATTACTCACAGCCAAAGCAATAATTGACGTTTTACTGAAAAAAACTCAATCGACAACGACAAATGATAATCTGGCGGTACAGTTCTTTGAAACATTGAAAGCCTGTCTAGAAGAAAGAAGGTCACAATGGGCTATATGTTTGTTAAATTATTTGCACACTAGCCACCACAGCTCACAGTCACAAAATACAGATTTTTTTACTTCAGATTTGGATAAAACTGCACTTATTGTTTTGTGGAAGATCTGTATTACAGACTTTTTAAAAATATCCCTCGTATCCAAACGCCAGATTTGGAAATAGTGGATGCCAAACCCAGTACCAGTAGTTCTACAGTACACAAAGAACCCAATGAGTTGTTTCAAAGTCAAATGAAACAGGCAATCAAAAAAATCGAAGAAAATGTACCCAAAATTTTTGCAAAAAGATCAAGAGCAGCATTAAAAAAAGGAGTTTTAGTTATTTGAAGCAACCAGAAAATGTACTAAAAGTTTGGAACTACTTTATAAAGCTTTAAACACAAAAACACAATAATACCAACATCTTTTGAAAACGAGAGAGTGTTCTCCTTGTCCGGAGGCATTATTACAAAAATCAGAAACAGATTGTCAGACAAAGCTGTAAATGCTCTGATGTTTTTAAATGCCTATTTTATTAAATCAGAAATATGTCTAATTGCTAGTTCATTATATTATTTATATGACTAATGAATAGAGACTAGGTGATGATTATTAATGATTACTGTATTATGATTATTAAGTTGATTTTATAATTTTACAATTTTACAGCCAAAAAATGAATTTATGATGATAAGAATTAAACATACGAATTGTTTAGACTTTAATTAACGTTATAAATGTTAGGATTTGATTTTATGTTCAATAAATGTTGATTTTTACTAAAATTGTTTTTTTTTTTATACATCTCGCCAAAAATAAACTTGATTCTAATTTTATTCTGAGAAGTCTCGAAATCCCGGGAGTCCTGGGATTTTGATCGTGGGTTGTCTCATGTCCCGGGACTTTGAGAATGTTGAGACTTTCCAAACCCTAGTGGATACAAACTTATGACTGAAAATATTGTATTTGAAACTAATTTAATGCAATTAGAGAACATTTGCCATTAAGAGTAAGCTTAATTTTGCAACTTAATATATCATTAATCTGTAAAAAGTTTGTCATAAACAATTTATTATTAATAAATTTATATTTATATTAAAAAAATTATTTTTATTTTTATACTAGGGTGACTATATTTGGATTGAACCGCAAACAAAGCGGGAATTTGATGTAGCTATTGGTGCACGTGTTACTTCAGCAGAAGGAAGACGTATTCAAGTTATTGATGATGATGGAAAGGTAAATTTTTCATTATTCATTTAAATTTTATTTATAAAATTGTTAACATTTCATTGAAAAATGATGTTTTTGTATTAGGATCAATGGCTTACACCAGAACGACGCATTAAAGCAATGCATCCCACTTCTATTCAAGGTGTTGAAGATATGATATCATTAGGAGATCTTCATGAAGCAGGGATTCTTAGAAATTTATTAATAAGATATAATGAAAATCTTATTTATGTAAGTTTTATATGCAATACTTTTTAACAAATTATATTTATTGTAATAGTGAACAATATTTAGTGAAAAATCAAATATTTATATTTTCATATTTTAACTTTAATTTTAATTTATTAGTCATTAGATTGTTATTCAATTATCAATTATTGAAAACTAATTTAATTATGTAGTATATAGAATTTATATAGTTTTATGGTTGCATGTAAATATAGTTATGAATATACAGATATACATTAACTGTCAACAAACAACTTGACACCTAAATGCAAATTCCAGCATATAATGAACAAATAAATTTTAATGTTCAAACATTTTTGGCTGTCTTTCAGAGGCCCTTGTCAGGAAAGAATGCACAAAACAGAAAAAACAGTTCTATCTTTTGATAAGTTTTGTGCATTCTCTCCTGACGAGGGCCTCTGAAGGTGGTCGAAAACATTTGAACATTAAAATTTATTTGTTCATTATATGCTGGAATTTGCATTTAGGTGTCAAGTTGTTTGTTTAGTATACAGTTCCAGTTTGTATGCCAGTTTTTTATGTATGACATCAACTGTCAACATACTACTATTTGAAGTTGTAATGATTTTCCCATAAAACATTCATAGTAGCTGAATAACCTCATATTTTCTATAATACACTTCATAATAGCTGCAATTATAGGTATGTTTATGTTACTGCTTGTTATGGAAACCAAATTCTGTTAATCTTAATTGGGAATGTTTTTGACTCTCTTTAAGTCAGCTTCAGCCAATAATGATTGTAAACTTCTAGAACAACTGATATTAAACTCAAAGAAAACAAATATATCATGTACAGTGATGCCTTTTACACCTTGTTTTTAACTAGTTTTTATTGGTTTTAAAGTTTTTGTTTTTACTCCCTTTATTGGTCAATTCTTTTTATGTTTTAACCAAAAATTTTTATTTTTACAGTTTTACTTGTTCTACTCCACGTTTTTAACAAATAGTTATTCCAGTAGTCACCATTAGTTATACTTTTAGTTTTACCATTATACATAATAAGGACTAAAGATGGCATAAGGCTTGAAATGCATATCTTTTGAAAAAAAATAGAAAATAAAAATCCACTTTTCCATCAAGAGGAGTGATCCTGTGTGATAAATTCTCAATAGCAATTTTATGCTAGGTTCCAAGGAACATACAACAAATATATTCTTTAAAAAGGATAAGTGTCTTTAAATTTAAAAGGTGTTGTGACAGAAAAAAAACAAAGATGTGAGCATATTTTGAAATATAAAACTAACATATGAAAGAAAATGTAATTGCTAAAATATGCAAAGATGAAAATAAAAGTAAAAATAAAAAGTTTGCAAAACACATATATACAACATATCTAAAATTATTGCTCTAATAGCCTATTCCAGTGGTTACCAAACTTTTTCAACTCTCGGCACCCTTGCTAAATCCAGATTTTCCCAAGGTGCCCTATGTCAAATTCTAACAAGTACAATTTGCGAAATAGCAAAATAGCCAATATTTTTTAAAATAAGTAAAATTATAAGAATTTTATAACATTTTGTGGCACTCCTGTGAGAAAGCAGCAGCACACACTTTGGGAACTGCTGGCCTATTCACTAAATGAGTATAGTTCTTACTATCTAGAGCAGGTTTCCAGTTATCATTGATTGGCATGGCATTATTAGTTTAATTATTGTTAGATATTTTGAAAGATAATAAATATACATTTAAGTATCCTAATAGGAGAAGCCTTCATGACACTTTTATCCAGTAAACTGTTAGATCACTATTGCAGGTTGATTTCATGAGAGTGATACAGATTTTAAATTGGGTTAGGCTAATTGAGTGGTAATGTTCCTTAATTATTTTAGAAACCAATTTTGTCATGGAGCTTATGTAGTAAAATTTCTCCCAATTTTTGCTCACCTTTAGAGCATAAACTCTAGATCTAGAAAGTGTATGGACTCTTATTATCAGAACAGAGTATGTTCATGACTGTGATTGATCTTCTATATTCCAACAGGATTTCTACAACATGCAGTAACAGAAATATATACAGTAGAGCGTCAATTATCCGAATCAATTGGGGACTGGGGTTGTTCGGAAGATCGATGTTTCGGATAACCGATTATATACGAAAAAATATATTAATTTATCTCATCTTGACATTTTTCTCTGTTGTGTGTCGCTTCGCGTTGTATTTTCGTCGATGTTAAGCCTAACGAAGACTATTGTATCGTTAAAAATTATTTTTTTATTTTATACGAACAAAATAAATATATTGAAAAATATAAAAGCAATAAAAAATTATACTTCAGAAGTTAATTTAGTATCAAAAACGTAAAATATTTGAGTAGCCCAAGACATAGCCAAAGACTGCAGCACCACAGCACTGGCGAAAATTTAAATTTGCCGACTGGAATTCTTTCAGATGATTGACTTTCGGATAATCGATGCTCTACTGTATTGATAATGGTGCAAAGATTCAATGACTATGAATGACTTGACTTGAATGTATAACAGAATGTTTAATAAATATATTACACATTCTGTTTTGTCATTACTGATATTGATTATTGTTTATAATCATCTTAAATATCTCATAGTATAAAGAACTGTGGCCATAAGATAATTTAGCATTATAGAAACCAGTATGCATTAGACAAGTTTTTAGAGTTCCTGTTGGAAAACTATTGAATGTTTCATGTTAATATGATATAAACCAGGGCTGTGGAGTTAGAATAGGGAGGGATTTCTTGCTAGAGGAGTTAGGAAAAATGTGTTGACTCTGACTCCAGCATTTTAAATTTAATTTAGTTTTTTTATTTAAATAAAAGAAAATTTATTTTATATTTATTAATTTTTTAAAATGTTTTTGTATTTTGTTATAATTCATTTATTTTAAATACAAAATGCAACAATTTAATTTATTAAATATGTATCAATAGCTTTCTTTGTTGTATTTGTGTTTAGTAGTTAAATTAATTTGACCCAATTGAACTTGAATACTATTGATTTACTCCTTTATTATCCCTGCTCTAAATGAGTATGCTTATTTTTCTGAATGAGCCAGACTAATTGATCAGAGTATATATTTTTCTTTTCTGAACAAGGGGCTGAAGTAGCTTGATCACACACTTTTTAGTTGGACTAACTTTTCTGGAAAGGTGAAATTGAAGTGCAAAAGCTGTAGAATAAAAATATGTAGATGTAGAATTTTATTGCTCTCACTTTTTCCTTTTATTAAATATTTGTTAAAAATTATTTTTATACAAATAAATATTAATGTAAGTTAAATATTAAAAATACTAACTGTAAAAGTATTTGGGTAAATGCCCAGGGTTCCTTTCAGAATTCAAAGTAGGGTAACCCCTATGAGCACCTCTGCCCCCCCCATAAAATGACTTGGTATTTAATTTTGCCAGAGTTGGGAGTCTGCCTATTAAAATTATTAGGAGTAGGAGTTGAGTGTTTTTTTACTGACTCCACAGTCCTGATACAAACTACATATTTGCAGCCCTTGCTAAACATATAAAATCAATATCTAGAAAGAAATCACAAAAATCTATGTAAAAGCAAAGTCAGATATGCATTCAGTGAAATGTCAGTTGGCCAAATGTTCATTTGGCTAAATATCTGCAGACCAAATGTTCATTTGGCTAAATATCTGCAGACCAAATGTTCATTTGGCTAAATATCTGTTGACCAAATGTTCATTTGGCTAAATATCTGTTGACTAAATGTTTGCTGGTGAAATGTCCAAGAGAGTCATATATATATATTCCGTATATATATAATTATTCCTTATAGAATATATAAAAACATATATATATATATATATATGTTTTATATATTCTATACAGAATAATTGTACATTAATAAAATTTTCAAAAATGTTTAAATCTTATTTTTAATAAATAACCCTTGTAATATTTTATACTTAAAATTAAATTATATTTTAATTATATAAAGCATGAATAATGATTGTTGATAATTTAACATTTTCTTTGAGTTTTGTTTTAATACTTTTTTATATCTTACAAGCAGCTAAAATGAAAATGACTTGTAAAATGATTAGTGTAAACTTAAAAATAATTATGATTATTAAATATAAATTGTGGTTTCCTTTTAATTTAATTTTAGTTTTTCTGTATATTTTCATTTCATATTTCATTTTAGATTTTTCACATTTTATTCATTAGAGAATAAATATTTAAAAATAATAATTATATTATTAATTTAATTTGTTATCAAGTATATAAGAATAAAATGATGCAGTAAGAATGTTATTGTTTTGTAAATCTTTAAACAAAACAAATTTATCATAAGAGATTTCACATATTTTAAGTGATGTAAGCAATTACTCATAAATGCTGGATGAATCATTCTTTAACACAAACTATAGTCTTAATTTCAAAACCAACAAGCTTTAATTCAACTTTGATAAATGTTTTTAAACTTATAATAGATTTGCTTTAGGTCTATAAAGCTTAACATTTTAATTCTGGATGTACTCTACATCATGTGATTGTTACAATATGCAAAATGTAGGAATGAATTTGAGATTAAAAAGTTGCTTTATGATTTTTCATCTAGAGTTACATAGAGTTATATAAAAAATAATTACATAAATATAATAAATATAAAATACACAAAAATATAAAATACAAAATAAGGATAATAATATAAAATTAACAGATGAGTTACAAATGATAAATGTTATGGGGACTGTAAATTATAAGGATATTAAAAGATAACAATAATATTGTAAAGTTAACATAGAAGTGTTATAATTGAATAGATGGAAATTATTAATTAAATTTAACATGAGGTGTTTTGGATTGTTGTAAAGGAATTACCATGCATATGAAATGTTTCCTTCCTCCTTAAAATTGATACATTCTCCATTTCATCTGATTTTGTATATTTCAAGGGCCTCAAGTGTTCTAGTTTGTTCTGTGTGTGTGGGTGTGGTCACTCAACATTTAATCTTGGGGAGCTGAGTTGAACAGATAAAGAAATTTTTAACGATAATTCAATAAAATTTATACCTTATGGGACCACTAATTCATAAGTAATATAGAAATAGAACACATGACATAATATAGATAAAAAAGTGAATTTTAATTAGGAAAATATGTTTGGAAAATTTACTAGTGTTTGTTTTCCTTTTACTTTTGGGGTGCCAGGCCCCTTGACCCACCCCTGGTTGCGTCACTATGTGGTGAATTTGATGAGACTGGAAAAGTGAATTAAAACTTGTTGGTTTTAAATTAAGGTTAACAGTTGTTTGTATTGAGTGATATAAATATTGAAGAAATGATCAATTTTGTAACTACATCTATACTGTTTAATTATGAAACAGAAAGGTGTGTGATATGTCTAAAAAATTGCAACAGCAATGCAAATATGCTTGTGTAGTTACTTATTATTCTTAGTAGATTATAGACAGAAAGCTTATAATCAGTGGTGATATTCAGCAGATTCGCACAGTTTCGGCCGAACCCGTTGTTAACATTTTCAAAGTTTTCTGAACCTTGTTAAACACACATAACATTTCTTAGTGGTTTTGTTTCTTTTAAAAAATATATTAAAATATACATATTATACTCTGTAACACTACTAAACTAGAGCCTTATACCCCGTTTGCCTTGGTGCGACCTCCCTTGACTGTTTCAATCTCGACTGAAATGAGGTTCAATCGTGATCGACTCTAGAGTTCTTAAAACTAGATCCAGTCGTAAGAGAGATCCCACAATCCTGCACACACGAGAAAATACAAAATGGCTGCAGAACACGTGTCTGGCTATTGACAGCGAAATAACAAAGATATTGTATTTTGAGAAACGAGGACATCTGTTTATTATTAGATATATTGGAAGAAAAAGTATTGTATTTATTTCTAACCAAAACTTCCATTTTGTTTGTCAGTGTTTGTGACTTACAGTATAGTTATGTCAGTTTTATCATCACATGTAATATATATCTTTTTTATTTATATGGGTATCTTAAGGTCAGTTTTTGCGCTAATGTTGCTAATGCACCATTTGAGCGAAAAAAATTGTTAAGGAAAAATTTTATGTTAGCGAACACTTTGTTAAATATTTTGAATATCACCACTGCTTATAATGTGTAACTATTCATTTTAACATAATCACAAAAATTTTTTTTGTCTTCACAGCAACAATTTTTTTATGACAAAATTGATGTCAATAAATTTAAAATTATGATTTTTTTGAATGTTGAAAAAATAAAATCATAAATTTAAATGTTAAATATAAATCCAGAATTAGATTTATATAGTTAGTTTGCATGAAATTTTCTGCTTTCTTTTATTTTAATTTAAAGTTACTTGACTTATTTAAGATTAATGTTTTTGGTTATTAATTATAAATTATTTTATTTTCTTTTAGACATATACTGGTTCTATTCTTGTTGCTGTAAATCCATATCAAATTCTTCCCATCTATACTGCAGAACAAATTAAATTATACAAAGATAAAAAGATTGGAGAATTGCCTCCTCATATTTTTGCCATAGGAGATAATTCATATAATAATATGAAAAGATATCAACAAGATCAGTGTGTCATTATAAGGTAAGTTTATCATATATTTATTAAATTATTTTTAAAAAATTTGCATTTTAGTTAACAATAACAAAATATATTTGTAATATAAAGTGGAGAGAGTGGTGCAGGAAAGACAGAAAGCACAAAATTAATTTTGCAATATCTAGCAGCTATTAGTGGACAACATTCATGGATAGAACAACAGATTTTAGAAGCAAATCCAATTCTTGAAGGTAAGCTTTGGTAAAATTTTTAAAATTTTACTATAATTCAAGCAAATATTAATTATAATTATTTATAAACATAATCAATCTTAATAATGATTAAGCAACATTAGTATATTTTACTTCAAAATTATAAGTTTTTAAAAATAAACCACCACCTTAAACAGCAATATAATTTTAAACTTATAATTATAATTTATAACATTTTTGACCTAGTTTATAGATCATCATCAGGCTGAGAATGTTTGAAATTATATCTCTGTTTAAGTGGTGGCTTATTCTTCAAAACTAAATTACAACATAAATAGTATATAATACTGGTATAAATTTTTAATTTAATTTGTTCAATACTTTAGAGGTGGCATTTACTATAATTTCCTGTTTATAGCCTACAGAGATATCCTTTCATTGATTAAAAAAATATATATTTATCATAAGATTTATACATGTTTACATTATTGTTTATTTGATTTCTTAAAATTCAGAATTATAAAATACAGTTAGTCCCTGATTTACAACAGCTGAAACTGATATATTATGATTATTTTCAAGTCCAAACAATTAGTTGCACTTGCTAATAGCATGGCATAAACAGTTAAATGTTAAATGTAATACTGTAATTGGTAATAAACATGCTTTGTATATCAATAATTTACATGTTTATTCATGTTTAACTATAACTCAGATTTATTCTATTAGCAGGCCTTATTCTAAGGTTTTTTCCTACTGCACAAATATTACTTTTGTTTTGGCCTAGCTGATAAATCCTAGCATTAATAAACTGTTCTAAAAGTCATAAATGGAAAATAAGGACAAGAACACAAATCTTATGTCTGTATAATTATTTATTCATTTCAATCAACATTTAATCTTAATTGTTAGTCAAGCACAATGTGCACTGTGCCTGCATGTGATATAATTTACTATATGATAAATGTGCTGTGGCTGTGGATTTTAGTTTAAATGATAATATTGATCCTTCAGATGCATAAAAAATATCTATTTTATATATTCAATACAAACAAGATTCCCTCTAAGCTGCACGGCCGTGCACTGCTCAAATTGTTGCCATGCATAAGAATTTATGTGCAGCGCAGGAGAGCATGCACACTGATTTGAATCGTTGTTTACTGATTTGTCACTCTGTCTGCGACATGATTACTGCTACGTATATTTTGATTAAATACATTAAATCATTGACAAAAGATAATATTTTGTATGGAAGTATGTTTTGAAATGAATTTTAATCTTTAATTTATAATTAATTATTTTAATTTTTAAAGGAAAAAAAATAAGATTGTCTATGTATCTGCTCAGAATCTTCTCAGCAAAAATTTTTTTGCTGAGAGAAGTACATGTTCTGCTCAGCTACAAAAAAAATTAGAGGGAACATTGAATACAAATGGTAAATCCTACCAACATTCCTTCCTTAGTTCTGTTTTTCATGGGCTGAATAAAATATACAGTAAAACCTGTGTAAACTGAAATCTTTGTGCTAAATATTTTTTCTGGTTTGGCATGTTTCCATTTTGAACAGGTTAATAATATGTATGCAATGCCCTGATTACACTGTAAGCCTTGCAATGTGCCTCATGCTATAAATTAGGGTGTCTAGGAGAGTAATGATGTTAGTTACTATTTATGTTGTAAGGCAATGTGCAGTTCCTGGATGCTGCAAGGAGGGAGAGAAATGAAATAAAACATCCTAGAGTATCCCATACATCTGGACCCAATCACTTTATTAAGAATCCATGAAAATTATGAAATTCCTTTTAACTTATTTCAATTTTCATTTTATACGGAATGAGTCAAAAGTTCCTTGCATCTTTTTCATTCCAAAAGTACTGAAGATATACAGTAATACCATGTTTTTCATTGACTTCAGTTATCATCAGTTTTAGTTTTCATTGATTTTTTTTCCTCAAAAAATTTTTCTTGGATTTTGTCAGAGTGCCCATGTGACCTTGCTGATAATTTTGCAAAAACAAAGGGCAATCCATGTGTTTTCCTGCTCAATATGGTGTTGTTTCTTGTAATGTGAGCATTACTCTGCATGTCTAGCCAAACAATTCCATTGCTTTCCTTTCCTTTTAGCTTTATCATGGGACCAAAGAAAGTTTCCAGTGTCAGCAGCCGTTTAAAGAAGATGGCCAGGAACATGATCAAGTTGAAGAAGAAAATCATTGAAAAATATGAGAGCAGCATTAAGATTGCTGAAATTGGCTGCATGTATGGGAAGTTGCAATCCACAATAAGTTCCATTGTGGAGAAAAAGGAAGCCATAAAGGAGGCTAATGTAGCGAAAGGTGTAAATGTGCTTACAAAACAGAGATTGCAAACAATTGAAGATGTCGAACAGTTATTATTAATTGGATCAATCTTATGAATCAATCAATCTTAGAATCAATTTTTCTTATTGTTTTTAGGATTAAACACTATATTTATTCTTTATAAAATGTGTTTCTGGTATGTATTTTGGAGTGTCTAGAACAAATTAATTGGATTTACATTGATTCATATGGAAATAATTGCCTCGATTTTTGTCAATTTCGGATTTCACCGATTGTTTTCAGACAGATTACCGATGAAAACCAAGGTATCACTGTATTTGTTTTGTTAATAGGAATGCATGGAGAATTGGATAGGAACTTTTTGTCAACCTTGAAAATGCTTTTCAAGCCTTGAAAATGCTTTTCAAGGTCACCTAAAACAATTACTTTTACTTTCATAAATTTAAAATTATAAATTATGCAGTTCTAAATGTATGTGAAAAGTGCAGTTGTGTCAAATAGCCACGAGGGTAAAAATACAATACAATTATGACAGTACATAATTAAAACAACAATTGATTTAATAAGAAATGATAACACAATGCACAAAAGAAAAAAAGAATTTGGATGCTAACCCTTGGATGTTTGCCCAGCTTCACCCAAGAAAACAAAAAAAGACCCAACACATGGACACACAACAAAACAAAAAAGATTCCCAAATCTTACACTTTCATTAAATGGATGCGACTGTGTATTACAAAAAGAATTTATTGGAACTAACTTAAAACTATAGAGATGAAATGGAAAATTACAATAGACAAAGGAAAGGAAAAAGAAAGGGGTACCTGTACTCAGTTGATTCCTTTTTTATAGAGATGATTACTTTTGATAATTCTCAGTGAAACTTTCTTGTCCTTTTGGGGAGGTTAATATATCCTTTGATCAGGGATCAAAGGAGACTGCCTTCATCAATGATTAATTGAAGCCTCAGGATTCATGTTGCATAAAGCTTTCAAGAAATTCTTAAGTCCCTTGCTATGATCAGGATCGACCTCTCCTCTCCAGTGTCTTCTGGTCTGAAATAAAAATAAGGACAAGAGAAGATTCCAGAAACTAGAAAAGACAAGAATTGAGGACAGAAGCTATAAACTAGAAAATTCTAACTTAAAATTATTGCATACAGCCATATGTATTTATTTGAATCCAGGAAAGGGCTTTAGACTAATTAAGTGATGCTCTTTTAACTTTGTCATTGGAAACTTTTATATTACCTCTGCTCATTAAAAAGTTATGATATATGTGTCCATAATATATATATATTATTTAATAAAAATTTAAATTTAATAAAACAGTTATTAATTATAATTATAATTTTATATTTATATGCAGCATTTGGAAATGCAAAAACAATACGAAATGACAATTCCAGTCGATTTGGAAAATATATTGACATCCATTTTAATAAACAAGGTGTAATAGAAGGAGCCAGAATAGAACAATATTTATTAGAAAAATCACGTATTGTTGGCCAGGTAAATTTTTATTGTTTTGATTCATAACTTTTGATATTTGTCATTTATATTACTGTAGAAAAATAATGTATTTATATTTTGTATAATTAATTGTTTTGATATTTAATAACTTTTTATGATATAATAATGAATGTATTCATGATATACCACTAATCTAGTTTCATTAAAATAAACACACAAAGTCTTCAGTTACATTCTGCTGTTAACACTACATATTGATAAGTGAAATCAAACTGTTGTCTGTTGTCAATAGGAAATATTAATTGGATCATTTTAATATGAAGCTTAAAAATTAATCATTAAAACATTTTAAGGAAAAGCATTCTGGGTTGTACATTGAACATATTGAATTTATCATTAATTCAATATAAATTAAATTTAATATTATTTTAAATTTACTTCATAGGTAATAATTATGATAGTCATTTTTGCAAATTTTGGCTATATGCAATTGATTATTTTTAATTCAGCTACTAGAAGAAAACAAAAAGTTTGAATTATCCATTTTTGAAAATTAAGCTAGTTTTCATCAAGTTTCTAGTGTTCATCTATATTCTACATTATTTAGCAATATATTTTTTTGTTACTTTCTTTTTCACTCATTTAATCATTATAACTTTTTAAACTAAACACAAATGTGTGCACAGATTGTTTAGACATAGAAAAACAGATAAACAATAACATCACTAAAATAGCAAAATACAATAGAGCATTGATTATCCAAAACAATTCGGGATTGGAGTTGTTCAGATAACTGATCATTTACAAAAAAATATATTAAGCACAAAACTGTACTGTATATATTTTGTATCACACATCTTACAAATACATATCTTACATAAAGTAGTACATTAAAGTAGGCCTACAGTTGGGGAAGTGCTGCAGCACCACAGCATAGCAGAAATCTGAATTTGCCAACTGGAATGTCTTCGGTTATGTGAGGGTCGAAAGGGGTGAGAAAGTTTTTAGACAATATAATAGGTTCGAAAAGAAACTAAAAATTTTAGAGAAAATAATATTTCAAACTTCACCAAGATTTTATCTACACAAAACGGAGGAAACAGCAGAATTTGAAAGGAAGTTGATTTCCTTTCCCAGGCGAACTGTTGATGAGTTGATAATTTTTCACATGGTACAGAAGACCCAATAAAAAGGCCGTTTTCGCGCCACTCGAGGCAGCAGTCCGTTAAGGGAAGGTCTTGCCATATGTAAAATACAGTACCTTCACGGCAAATCAGTCAAGAAGAGACAATTGCCATACTAAGGAAATACGTAAGAAGTTTAGACATACGATATAAGGCAGTCCAATAAAAAGGAAAAGCCATACGAAGAAACCAGCTATTGATAAGAAACGAACTCAAATGAACTCCTATAAGAATATGAAATACAGAATTAAGTAAGGAAGAGAATCCTTGAAGAAGAAAGCATACAAGAGGAAAGATGTTAACGACCTACAGGTGAAGGTAATATTAGAAATAGATTGATGTAAACTCTCTCTCGAAAACACTCTTGTAGAATAAGCATAGGTTTAGTTTTAGTATTAGTGTATTAAATTGTTGTATGAATTTATCTATTTAGTTTTACTAAATATTGTTCACTTGTTAAAGAAATGTCGCATCTTTGTCTGAACCAAATCTATATTAGCTCTACACGTGTGTTAATCTGCGTATCTAAATTTGATTAACTGGTGTTGGGATCTGACGAGATCTAGAATTAATCCTCTAGATCGTTCTTAAACATAATTAGTCGCCCTCCTATAAAAAGTTAGTGAGCCGATCTCACAATCGTGTGCCTGTAAGTGATATAGGTATCCACCCTATACCCTTGGTTCTCACAGTTAACTGATGTTTCAGTTGATCAGTATTCAGATAATTGATGCTCTACTGTACAACAATTTTGTCCATACTGTAGGAGTTTACAAAGCACAAATTTCTGAAAATACTCAAATCACAAACATTCTGTAAACTACTAGATCACATGTTACTTTTTCTTTTCAAGTTTCATTTTCAAAATATGAGATATACTTGGTTCAAATGATCAAATACTTATATTTTAATTCAAAAGTTTTTAAATATTTTAATTTTTTAGCATTAATTTAAATATGAATTTTTATGAAAATGATAGTTTAAATTATTCAATAATTCAAATTAATCGGATTTGACTGTAAATCATTTTTGAGATTTTGTCCATTTGTTGATCTGTTTTTATAGCTTTAGTATTTTTCAACTGTTCATTTTTTCTACAAGAAATCCAGAATTGTTTATTATATTTTAACTAGAATTCATTTAATCACAGCTAAAACATCAGAATAAAATCTACTCTGAAGTAGATTTCCATCCATATGATTACAGACTATTTTCTGATTCATAGATCCTGTCACTATCCATAAGTTATTTGATCAGTTATATAATATATCATGAATAACTCCTAATAAATGAAAATAAAACAGCTTAAATTTAATAGTTATTTAAACACATTTTATACAGTTAACCCCCCTATAACACAGGTTCCTATAGTTTGGATTCCTATATCATGGCGAAAAAGTTGCGACAGTATTTCATACAAATATGCTAATAAAACTCCTATAATTTGGTAAAACATCATTACCGACTTGTGTCATGACAGGATTGATCGAATCTACACCAATAGTGGATATTGCACAAACTGTCGAGTTTAAACGTGCAGCAGATCTACTAAAAACCATTTATTATTTAACGTCCATAAAAATTATATTTATATTAATGATTTCTCCTAAGTTCAGCGAATTTTTTGCAAAAAACATAATTTATCAGGAAGCACGCAAGTGCCATTTGATGACAAGCTCCATGACAAAAACAAGCTTAAGCAATGGTGTAGTCAAACAGTACACACTCAGTAAGTCATCCTACAATTTTTTGTTTATAGCATAGTTTATATGGATTATTCCCAAAAAATTATAAGTATTTTGGAAATGTTGAGTCAAATTAGTCTAGAATCGATTAATTTTATGGAAGAAACCTTTCAAACAGCCATAGCCCGTAAACTGCATACGTACCGGGCTGTGATTGGCTGGACTCGTAGAAAATGGATTCATAAAAACCGAAACGTATCTACCGTGTTATAGGGGGATCGACTATATTTGTGTTTAATTTAAAAGATCTACAAAAGCTTTTATTTTTAGTAAAATTTAGGTGTATTACTTAGTGTCTTAATATTTAATTTAGTACAAAAAATGAATTACAAATCAAATTTTAAAAAATTATAAAGTGTAAAATACACATTAAATGATAAAATGTATAGATAAAGTGTCGTTTTAGAAGAAATTGTTAAAAGAAACTAGTTTTAATGAAAATATTTTATTCATGTTCAGTTTAGAATTTAATGCAAAAAAAACAAAACTTGCTGATGAAATGGTTTGAATTTTATCCAACTGTTTTTCTGTTAGTTCTGCTTTATATAAAAATAATTTTTCATTTATTTTAGAAATTTAACATAAACAATAAATNATTCATGTTCAGTTTAGAATTTAATGCAAAAAAAACAAAACTTGCTGATGAAATGGTTTGAATTTTATCCAACTGTTTTTCTGTTAGTTCTGCTTTATATAAAAATAATTTTTCATTTATTTTAGAAATTTAACATAATAAATATGCATGTTTCTTTTGCAGAAAAAAAGTGCACATGTATTTTTTTATGTTGACTTATATATGCAAAGTTTTTCATAGTTTTTACTGAAGACATTTTTTTATATGTCCTATGCAGTTAAAGCTATATCATTCCTATGTAATTTTTTTAAAATAAAAAACATTTAATGTTACAGAATTTTTTTTTATTTGTAGTTTATCTACAATATAAATTTTTATCTTCAGTTATTGTCATTATTACTATAACTATTGAGTTCTATAAAGTTTTATTATATAACTATGTTAATATAAATATATATTGAAAATTCACAATTATAACTTTTCTTTTATAGGCTCAAGATGAAAGAAATTATCACGTATTCTATTGCATGCTAGCTGGCTTAGCCAAAGATGAAAAACATAAGCTTGAATTACAGGATGCCTCAAAATATTATTATTTAACACAGGTTAGTATAGTTATATTACAAGGAATAAAATGTATTTAATTTCAAAATACTTGAGGAATAACAAAATTCAATAATATAATAAATTTGTTTTTAATATATTTGATTAACACTAAATATTAATAATAAATTTTTGAAAATACTGATGAAATAAGATTATTTAACACAGCTTAAAAAATGTACTTTGAAAAATATTTTTATATTATTAATTCAAGTAATTAAAAACTAATCTAATTAAATATTTCAAGTTATAGTAAATTATTTTTTATATATAACTTTTTAAAAATAGTAAGATAAAATTTAAGAAAAATAGAATAGTTAATATTAAACTATATTTGTTTCTTTTAAGTGGTAATAATTAATTTCATTATTATTTCCAGTATGTATTTAAAGATTGTAATGTATTAATTAGCTTTAGGAATATAAATATATACATGTTTAAGTAGTAATAATATATAATTATACTTGACTTATTAACATTTCACAATCATTTTTAAATAAATGAACATAGGGTGGCTGTATAACATGTGAAGGTCGTGATGATGCTACAGAATTTGCTGATATTCGCTCTGCAATGAAAGTTCTCATGTTTTCCGATCAGGAAATATGGGAAATTCTGAAAATATTGGGAGCTTTATTACATCTTGGAAATATAAAATATAGAGGTAGAGCTTATTTTAACTAAATTCTTAATTAAAAACTTTTTTTTAATATTTGCTTATTTTGCTTTAGCAACTGTAATATCTAATTTGGATGCAACAGAAATTATGAATGCCAGTAGTGTGAATAGTGCTGCTCGCCTTTTAGAAGTATTTAATTTCTTTTCTTGTTGAATAATTCAATTTAATTCATAATAGATTTAAATGTATATTTTTTTAAGGTAAATCAACAACATTTGATAGATGCTCTCACTACACGAACTATTTTTGCTCATGGAGATGCTGTTGTATCAACAATGAGTTCAGAACAATCACTTGATGTAAGAGATGCATTTGTAAAAGGAATTTATGGGAGAATGTTTGTATGGATTGTAAATAAAATCAATTCAGCAATTTATAAACCCAAACCATCAGCAAATTATTACAGAACATCGATAGGAGTTTTGGATATATTTGGATTTGAAAATTTTGCTGTTAACAGGTAAACATACTTTTATTAATACTTAATATTTCCACTGTGTTCANTAAGCAATGGTGTAGTCGAACAGTACACACTCAGTAAGTCATCCTACAATTTTTTGTTTATAGCATAGTTTATATGGATTATTCCCAAAAAATTATAAGTATTTTGGAAATGTTGAGTCAAATTAGTCTAGAATCGATTAATTTTATGGAAGAAACCTTTCAAACAGCCATAGCCCGTAAACTGCATACGTACCGGGCTGTGATTGGCTGGACTCGTAGAAAATGGATTCATAAAAACCGAAACGTATCTACCGTGTTATAGGGGGATCGACTATATTTGTGTTTAATTTAAAAGATCTACAAAAGCTTTTATTTTTAGTAAAATTTAGGTGTATTACTTAGTGTCTTAATATTTAATTTAGTACAAAAAATGAATTACAAATCAAATTTTAAAAAATTATAAAGTGTAAAATACACATTAAATGATAAAATGTATAGATAAAGTGTCGTTTTAGAAGAAATTGTTAAAAGAAACTAGTTTTAATGAAAATATTTTATTCATGTTCAGTTTAGAATTTAATGCAAAAAAAACAAAACTTGCTGATGAAATGGTTTGAATTTTATCCAACTGTTTTTCTGTTAGTTCTGCTTTATATAAAAATAATTTTTCATTTATTTTAGAAATTTAACATAATAAATATGCATGTTTCTTTTGCAGAAAAAAAGTGCACATGTATTTTTTTATGTTGACTTATATATGCAAAGTTTTTCATAGTTTTTACTGAAGACATTTTTTTATATGTCCTATGCAGTTAAAGCTATATCATTCCTATGTAATTTTTTTAAAATAAAAAACATTTAATGTTACAGAATTTTTTTTTATTTGTAGTTTATCTACAATATAAATTTTTATCTTCAGTTATTGTCATTATTACTATAACTATTGAGTTCTATAAAGTTTTATTATATAACTATGTTAATATAAATATATATTGAAAATTCACAATTATAACTTTTCTTTTATAGGCTCAAGATGAAAGAAATTATCACGTATTCTATTGCATGCTAGCTGGCTTAGCCAAAGATGAAAAACATAAGCTTGAATTACAGGATGCCTCAAAATATTATTATTTAACACAGGTTAGTATAGTTATATTACAAGGAATAAAATGTATTTAATTTCAAAATACTTGAGGAATAACAAAATTCAATAATATAATAAATTTGTTTTTAATATATTTGATTAACACTAAATATTAATAATAAATTTTTGAAAATACTGATGAAATAAGATTATTTAACACAGCTTAAAAAATGTACTTTGAAAAATATTTTTATATTATTAATTCAAGTAATTAAAAACTAATCTAATTAAATATTTCAAGTTATAGTAAATTATTTTTTATATATAACTTTTTAAAAATAGTAAGATAAAATTTAAGAAAAATAGAATAGTTAATATTAAACTATATTTGTTTCTTTTAAGTGGTAATAATTAATTTCATTATTATTTCCAGTATGTATTTAAAGATTGTAATGTATTAATTAGCTTTAGGAATATAAATATATACATGTTTAAGTAGTAATAATATATAATTATACTTGACTTATTAACATTTCACAATCATTTTTAAATAAATGAACATAGGGTGGCTGTATAACATGTGAAGGTCGTGATGATGCTACAGAATTTGCTGATATTCGCTCTGCAATGAAAGTTCTCATGTTTTCCGATCAGGAAATATGGGAAATTCTGAAAATATTGGGAGCTTTATTACATCTTGGAAATATAAAATATAGAGGTAGAGCTTATTTTAACTAAATTCTTAATTAAAAACTTTTTTTTAATATTTGCTTATTTTGCTTTAGCAACTGTAATATCTAATTTGGATGCAACAGAAATTATGAATGCCAGTAGTGTGAATAGTGCTGCTCGCCTTTTAGAAGTATTTAATTTCTTTTCTTGTTGAATAATTCAATTTAATTCATAATAGATTTAAATGTATATTTTTTTAAGGTAAATCAACAACATTTGATAGATGCTCTCACTACACGAACTATTTTTGCTCATGGAGATGCTGTTGTATCAACAATGAGTTCAGAACAATCACTTGATGTAAGAGATGCATTTGTAAAAGGAATTTATGGGAGAATGTTTGTATGGATTGTAAATAAAATCAATTCAGCAATTTATAAACCCAAACCATCAGCAAATTATTACAGAACATCGATAGGAGTTTTGGATATATTTGGATTTGAAAATTTTGCTGTTAACAGGTAAACATACTTTTATTAATACTTAATATTTCCACTGTGTTCAGTAATATTTTTAAATTTAAATATGAATTTATATATATATATATTTTTTATTTGCATATTTATAAATCATTTTACACATTTCAGTTTTGAACAGTTTTGCATTAATTATGCAAATGAGAATTTGCAACAGTTTTTTGTTCGTCATATTTTCAAATTAGAACAAGAAGAATACAACATAGAAGCTATAAATTGGCAGCATATTGAATTTGTAGATAATCAAGAAGCTCTTGATTTAATTGCAGCTAAACCAATGAATATAATGGCATTAATTGATGAAGAAAGTAAATTTCCAAAGGTAAGTTTATTTGTTTTTAAATTTATTTTATTAAATAAATATATTCATTAAAATATAAATTATTTTTTAATTATGTAGGGTACTGATCATACATTGCTTAATAAATTACATAAGACTCATGGTAATAATAAGAACTATTTGAAACCTAAATCTGATATTAATACTTCATTTGGACTCAATCATTTTGCTGGTGTTGTATTTTATGATACTCGAGGTAATTATCTTTGTTTTTAATTATATAAATTTTTGAAATTGAAACATTTCATTTTTACAGTAGTGTGCATATTTCTTGCAATATATATTCAGCAATATTTCTAATATCTTGAATTATTAAGTAAATTGATTTTATTATATTGAATATTTAGTTATAATTTCTTCAGCTATATATATATATAATTAATATTAGGTTTAAAAATATTAAGCTATATTATTAATAATAATAATGGTAATGTAATGAGCATAGAATAAATAAATTATGATATCTATAAATTATAAATTAGACAGAAGTTGTTTGTTAATTTTTCACTTTGTGAAACCAGAGGGTTCTGGGTTATTAAAGATGCTAGATTATCAAACATTTTTATACTTTTGTAAAATCAATAAATTCTATGTAATCTTAGCATCACAGACATTACTGTATATTTTTTACTAGTGCACATTGCATATGTGTCTAATTTATTTACACATACTCTTTAGTCAGTCTGAAGATGATGCAGTGCATGACTGTACTGTGTTAATATTGATTGAAAGATCTGCAAAAACATTAATGAACACATTATTGCATATTGCACAATTGTGGTGTAAATCCATATCAGGGACAAGAAAGCACTAGTGAAAGTATTCAACAAACAAGATGGGTTATTTTTTTAATTTGGTCAATCTCCCAAGGGATCTTTAGTGCCTCAAATTCCAAACAAATCCTGATTCACAAACTACTAGTATGACAGATTATTATTGGATAATTTTAATTAAAAGGTGCCAGATTAATGAACTTTTACTGTATAACATCAGATTCCTTAATGACACCTTAATATATTTAATAATTACTTAATAATACTTAATTCAGTATCAAAAATATACGGAACTTGTTTAGTTCAAAGTGAAATAAAACATTGTAAGAATGGAACTTGACAAACTGCATTTTTAACTTTGATAATTTTAAGATATATTTTAATTTTAGTTTTTTTTAATATATTACCAAGTTAACAAAAAATTTTCATTTGAGCCTGTAAGAGAGACCTAAAATAGCTGAATTTCTGTAGTGGCTTATGTCAAACATAAACAAAAGAAAATGTTATAAAGATCATACATTCACTAGTTAAAATGGATATTGAAATCAAATTTGAATGATAAAAATTCCACAAATATAGGAAATAATTATACTATTTGCCAATAGTTATTTTTTTATATTTTCTTGACTTAGAATTTCTTGACAGAATTCAGTTTATTCCAGAAGACTGAAAATCAGTTTAGTCCAGAAGACTGAAAATCAGTCTTCTGGACTAAACTGATTTCTCTTTATAATTGTCTTATACCTTAGATATAATTCATAAGTTTATCTTTTTTTTTTTCCCCATGATTAATTTATACATGATTATATATACTTATTTTACGAAAATTATTTAAAAAGATGAAAATTGGAAATGTATTAGTTTCATAAATTTATATTGTATTTTTAAATATCTTTAATTCTCTAGAATAATCTTTACCAGCAGCATGCCATGACATTTGATGATAGAGAAGCTGTGTTTCTGTAAGAAGCTGACTTCCAGGGGCAATCAGTTAATTGTGCATCGGACTGACACGTGATTAACTGATTGCTCCTAGAAGACAGCTTCAATCTTATCATTGTTTTTCACATGTATATAAATTTGTAATAAAATAAATAATGTGGATATAATAAAATATTAATTTTAATTAATTAAAGATATGTTAAAATATGAAAATAATTGCACAATGTGTATTTATATTTTAGAAAATACAAGGGAAGTGGCACTTCCACAGCTTCCATGGGTATGCGGCATGCCACTGATCTTTACAGTTTTAAACTGCAAAAGCTATCACTGTAGATCTGTTAAAATTGACTGTTTAGATGAGAGTATGAATTCAACAAGTTGAAATAATGTATAATATAGTGATGCAAAAAACTGGATTTTAAAACGAAAAAGGAGAAATGTATTTGCTTTTGGCATCATCCAATTTTATCTATTTAAATTTTCCAGTTAAATTTTATAAACAACAACTTAATCAGAAAATTGGAACTGTATGTGTAGAGTAGAGAATTGTACCTAAATGCAAAATTTTCAGCAAAGAAACACTTAACACTTAATAGTGGTCAAAAACGTTCTTTACGTATAAACTTTGTAATTTTGAATTTATTATTATTTTTTAATAGATGATAATAAATTTATCATCATCATAATTGTTGTACGTCTAAAAAATACTGTTTTAAAAGATAGTGAATTTTATTTAGTTGGGTACAGAGTCTTAAGTAAAGATCCAGCTGTTTTTATGTGCAATNAAATACAGTAGAACCTCCATTATCCGGACCTCCAATATCCGGATTTTCGATTATCCGGATTGTTCAAAATAAACAAAAATTTTACGAATTTGCTGATTTGTACGGTTTAAATACAGTATTTACTTTTAATATTACCGATATGCACCATACAAAATAAAACGTGTTGTATTATCATTAAAAGACAAATTAAAGTATTTGTTTTGATTATCCGGATTTATCCTTATCCGGACTACCTTCATCCCCAATTAGTCCGGATAATAGAGGTTCTACTGTATCAGAATTTTGACTTAATCATTTTTGTTCTTCTAGCTAAGAAATCAAAGTTCCATTTTATTATTATGATTATCATTTTTAAATTATTAATTTATTGTAATTTTATTAATCAAATGCTTACATATTTTTCTTTTCTTTTATTTTTGAGAAAATTATCTTATAAAGTTAATCTAATTTTATTTCATTTATATAAAAGGATTTCTGGAAAAAAATCGAGACACCTTTAGTGCAGATTTAATCCAACTGATTCAAGTTAGCAACAATAAATTTTTACAAAATCTCTTCATACAAGAAATAGGAATGGTATGAAGTTGTGTATATATTTTGTGTTACTAAGTCTTTATTTCTAACTTTTATAAAAAATCTTTTTCTGCCAAAAGCATTTTAAACTAAAACTAAAATTTATTTCCTTTTATCTTTTTCTTATTTCTGCTTTGTTAACAGGTTTTTAAGAGATGCTTTTCATCAACAGAATATTTCTTCATCAAATTTCCTCAAACAACAGAATGTTTCATCTTTTCCTTATTTCTGCTTTGTCTATAGATTTAAAAGATGTTTTTCAACAGAATATTTCTCAAATCAATATAGAATATGGTAATTAAATTTCTAATGCAGGTCAGCTTGACTTAGTGTTTGTCAGCATGTTTGGATAATTTTTACATGAAATTATTATGTTTAGCAAGAAGAACATTGTTGTAATTAAGATAAAATTATTTTAAATTATTTAATTTATATGTTAGATATGTTTTATATTAAAAATTATTACAAAACCAGATTTCCAGATTATAATAAATAAATTTAACAAATTTTTAGGTAATAAAAAATTAATAAGTTTGCTCTAATGTATAAAAACTTATTCCTTAAATTTTAACTAATACCATAAATTAGTCAAGAATACATTTTAAAATTAGTTTATAATTTATTAACATGTTTGACAGTGACTTTAGCATAATATACAGTATTTTTATGATAAATATTTTTAGATAAAAGTATTATTATTTAACTTCCATTTTTTTTTCTTGCTAAACATAAGAATAGAAATATTCTGCATGTATTTCTTTTCTTTATTAAATACAAAACATGTTTAATTTTTATAATATATTTCATTTATAACGTTTATATCAATAGTTAAAAATTTAATTTAATACATCATATCAAATTTTTGAAATACCTTTTTTCTAAATAGTAAAGATTTTTCTTGAAAATACAATGTAATTGAATTTTAATTTTTTATATTTTCCTCAAATATTTATTTGAAATTAGGATTTAAATGCTATAATTAACTTTACAGTTTGAGTAATAATTTTATGCTATTGTTTATTTAATATTTTAGTTTCTAAATTCATTTTTTGAATAAAGTTTCAAAGTTTTTGCAAAATATTATATGATGCTTATATAAATGTTTGTGTATAATTGTATGCCATTTCATAGTTCAATAATACATTTTATTCTTCTTTGGGAGTAAGCACAAAATTGTAGAATTTACCACACCTGTGTGATAAGTTCTACATAGCAATTTCCTGTGATAAGTTTGTGCTTACTCCCAAATAATAAAAGAAAGAACAAGAAGCAATCAAGTATTATTTTATTAGTATTAAGTAATCAAGTATTAAATATTATGAACTGTGTTGTGACACAGTTCATAAATTTTATACATTTTGTAAATTTTACCTCTTGTTCATTAGTGCTTAATAATTTATATGTATTTTACCATTACAAACTAATGGTAAAATACAAAGTTTTGTTACTTGTTTTTATGGAGCAAATGAATTGCTATGTTTGGGTAGTAATCCCATGCTATAGCATTGCTTATCAGATGTAAATAAATAAGTAAATATTTTCAATGATTTGTAATGCCACAAATTTTTTTCTATAAAATTATTTTATTGGGTTGCAATTTGAAAAAATTGTAGACTTATAAATTCCAACTATCATCTGTTTGTCCATCTGTCTTTCCTTAATCTCTAGAATGGAGTTAGATAGATAAAAGATGAGACCAGATATGGAAACATTATGGTCAGGAGGCCCGATTAACTATATATACAAACTTCTGATGCAAATTGGAAATCACATTATTTCATTTCAAAACTTTCCCCTGAAAGCATGAGAGCATATATTATAAATGAAATAAATTTAAAATATGATTAAAAATTTCAGCCTGGCATTGTGATGATGTCACAATAAATAATTGTTCTTTTATTTNTGCTATGTTTGGGTAGTAATCCCATGCTATAGCATTGCTTATCAGATGTAAATAAATAAGTAAATATTTTCAATGATTTGTAATGCCACAAATTTTTTTCTATAAAATTATTTTATTGGGTTGCAATTTGAAAAAATTGTAGACTTATAAATTCCAACTATCATCTGTTTGTCCATCTGTCTTTCCTTAATCTCTAGAATGGAGTTAGATAGATAAAAGATGAGACCAGATATGGAAACATTATGGTCAGGAGGCCCGATTAACTATATATACAAACTTCTGATGCAAATTGGAAATCACATTATTTCATTTCAAAACTTTCCCCTGAAAGCATGAGAGCATATATTATAAATGAAATAAATTTAAAATATGATTAAAAATTTCAGCCTGGCATTGTGATGATGTCACAATAAATAATTGTTCTTTTATTTTAAAAATATACATTGCATAAATAAAGTTGGTTTTCATGAATAAATTTTTCTTCTAAGATTGCTTTGAATTGTACTTTTGAAAAATTTTCAAATTTTTTGCAAGTTGAAAATAGTATTTAAAAATTATAATATGATGAAACCTGGTTAACTCAAATTGGGATAACTCAGTCACATTTACTCAAAGTCATTTCTTTCCGTGATTGTCCAGCATTAGGGATTTACATGTTAAATCAAACTGGCTAACTCATATTCCTCAAACTGTTTAACTCAAATCGGGATTTGATACAATATTTTCATAAACTCTCCAGAATTTTAATTTTCTGTTAAATAAAATAATTATGATTTATGTATCAAATAAACATATCAGAAACTTCCTATAAAGTGTGGGAACCAAGTAAAACTAAAAATAAACATCATGTCATGATGCATATCATGATGGCAGATGAAGGATGGTAGCTTCCAGACAATGTTTATGACTTAGATATTTATATTTTGTGTTACTAAGTTTTTATTTCTAACTTTTATTAAAAGTCTTTTTCTGCCAAAAGCATTTTAAACTAAAATAAACTAAAATTTATTTCCTTTTATCTTTTTCTTATTTCTGCTTTGTTAACAGGTTTTTAAGAGATGCTTTTCATCAACAGAATATTTCTTCATCAAATTTCCTCAAACAACAGAATGTTTCATCTTTTCCTTATTTCTGCTTTGTCTATAGATTTAAAAGATGTTTTTCAACAGAATATTTCTCAAATCAATATAGAATATGGTAATTAAATTTCTAATGCAGGTCAGCTTGACTTAGTGTTTGTCAGCATGTTTGGATAATTTTTACATGAAATTATTATGTTTAGCAAGAAGAACATTGTTGTAATTAAGATAAAATTATNATAAATTGACTCCCAATTTTCAACAATTTATAGGCACACAAGCTTATAGTTTGACTAACAAATTTTATAATACAACTGATTACTGATACATGAGTATAATCAGACAACATGTTTGTAAACAAAGTACTGTGCAATCACTGGAGCTAGCACAGCATGACGCATATCATGATGGCAGATGAAGGATGGTAGCTTCCAGACAATGTTTATGACTTAGATATTGTACCTGACATTTGAACCTCCTTTTTTTTCAAACGTTTTTTTATTTTATTTGATTGCAGATGGATATCTCTGACTAACTGATGTAATAAATAAACAGATGTTTGATAAATTGATTTTTTAAAAAAACACGATGATAGTCCAATTGTATATAAAAATTTTAATCTTTGTGGCAAAATTTTAAAAATGTAATAGTCATAAAGAGTGGTATATTTGAGATAAAAAATATAAAAAAAATCAATTCTAGGCACAAAATGTTGCAATTTAAAATAATTCTTATTAAATACTTAGGAGTGAACAGATCAACCATTTGGGAAAGCATTTCTCAGTAACTTATTTACCCATTCAGTTAAGTGTTTTCGAGTTTCTTGACAACACTGAGAGATTTACATTGAAACGTCAATTCTACACAATAAGACCCACAGAAATATCATATGGATAGTTTATTATGGGTCACCAATAAACTGATGCACAAAATCTTGATTTTTAGCCAAACATCCATAACTGGAAACTTTTAACTCAAGTTCAGATTTTTCTCCTCAAATGATTCAAGTTGACCAGATTCCACTGTATTTACAGTGGTGGCTTGCAATAAGTAGTGTGGAACTGCAAAAGCCCAAAAAATAATAATAATATCATAAAATAATGTCTCAATTTTTATTGCATAGTAATTATACATGATTATATATGATTAAAATAAAATTTTTTATTAAAACCAGCACTGACCAAAACAGTATATGAAATAAAAATGATTCTGTTAGGATGATTGCATGCCATATGCTCTCCTGCACTGCACTATTTAATAGTTCTAGTGCTGTGTAGGAGAGCAACTCAGTGAACAGACCCATTCATTCAGTCATTAAGGTCATAAGATGAAATGCTTGAAAGGGCACCGCACTGTTAAGCAGTGCTTTTAGACTTGTGTCCACATGACAGAAATCAGTTATGGGATCAGAGCAGAGGTGCAGAGTACTTTGTTACCTGTAAATGTTGTGATATAGAATGTGGTGATAGGAACTAACAAAGAGTTAGGCAAGTAGTATAAAAGAAATATACTTTATTTCAGCCGTGGTTTTACACTTTGCAGGATTTTTATAGATTCCGACACTCCTCAATAGAATTCTAGTACAAACAATTCACCCGATACACAGGCAGAACCATAAAATGCAACTCTCGTGACAACAAAATATGCCTGAAAATATCCACCATGGTACAAAGAAAACTTATATCTAAAAAACTTAAGAGCTACTTATACTAAAAGAGAAGGAAGGAAAAAGATAGAATACAGGACAGAAAAAATTTATAGAGCAAGATAAGTTAGCTGACAGTCTCGTGGTGATGGTGAACAGAAGTTCTTTCCAGAAGTTCTTATCTTGGAATACTCAATTCCTCTTGATTATTAGTCTTAACTTATGGTATCTTCCTATCTCTCCAGCCGATGCAAAAACGACCTGGAGAACACTATGACGCGTCTTCTCACTTTGACATCTCAATCAAAAAGTGGCCCTCCTCATCTTTTCTCTTGCCCTCGGGGTCACCCCCTCTCCTTTGTCTTCTAACTAGGTCAGTTACCACCCTCACTTGGAAGAGGTTCCTAGAAAATTATATATATAAAAGAGACAAGAACAAAGAAGGATAGGAAAAAGCATGCATATACTATTAAAGATACATGCAACTTAAAAATATAATGCTATGCTATCACAATGTTAATATGAAAAAGATGAAAATTTTTAATCTTGAATTAATTTATTTTGATTAAATTTTAAAATATATTTTATGAATGCAATGCAATATGTACAGTTTGTTACACAAAGTAGTAATTGTTATTGTGCACTCCTACATTAGACAACCAAAAGCCACTACTGAATATTTATAATTTTTTTTAGTGCATCTTATTTTATAGGCTAAGAGGAATATTTTAAAGAAAAAAATAACTTGGTTGGTTAAAAATTGAGCAAAAAACAGCATTTTTAAAATGTAATTCTTGAAATCATAATTTTGAAAAAAGCTTTAAGGTTTTTCTTCAGATTTGTATAAAAAATAATTATAAAATTATGTTCAAATAAAGAAACTTATTACTTTATTTATACAACATCTATCAAATAAAATAATAAATATAAAAACCACATTTTTAAATATAATTTTATTAATTTATGATCTAAAATGACAAAAAGAATAATAATAATGTGAAAAAATTGATGAAATAATGAATGTAAAAATCTAGAATTTAAACAATTTTATCAATACAAAAAAAATGAACAGTTTATAATAACAATATGAAAATTATACAAAATTGTAATGGCTATTCAATTTGATAACATCCTCATAATAAAGCATGTATGTAAAACATTTCTAACAAAAAATCACTTTATAATTTTCAAAAAATTAATAAATTGACTCCCAATTTTCAACAATTTATAGGCACACAAGCTTATAGTTTGACTAACAAATTTTATAATACAACTGATTACTGATACATGAGTATAATCAGACAACATGTTTGTAAACAAAGTACTGTGCAATCACTGGAGCTAGCACAGCATGACATCTTGCAGAGTAACCATACATAAAATAGCAAAGCAATAACCAACAAAGTGAATTTTTAGCTTAAAATATTGCCAAGCTTGCTAGAGATGTCTGGCATTGAAATGTAAAATTGACAATTTTGACTTTGCATTGTTTTGATCTCCAGTAAAATTTACTTTTCCAACTTAATTAAAGTACTTTTTATAGATTTCATTTTTTTTTTTTTTTTTGGAATACTCTTGTCTCAGGAATGGATGATTTCAAACAATTTAAACGTTTAATTTGATCTTGAATGTAATATGTTTATATGATGACAATTCTGATAGCTGTGTAGCTGCAGGGAGGATTGAAGTCTCCACACTCCAGCATAGCCTACAAAGAAGGTCTGTTGGAATAAGCTATTTTGCCATTTTAGGAACTTTTCATCAATGTGTGGACATTAATATTAGTTCTACATTTTTTTATTTTATATATATAAATTATAGCAAAGACTAAGTTTATAATTTTTAATTGCTTACTTTATGTAATAAATTATTGGATTTCCTACCATGTAGACTGTATATAGTACACCTTATACTTACCTGAAATACATAAATTAAAAATTATGACAATTAATGGAAACAAATGAAAATAATTCTCAAATATGAAATTAATGATCAGGTCAAAGTTAAACTATCTTTATCTATTTAAGTTAATCTATTTTTTTCAATATTGAATAATTAATCTTAATTACTTGTTTCATTTCTTTGTTATTTGTGGCTATAAACAAATTTTCAATTAATAATTTTAGCCAATCTTGTCTTAAAATTTGTTAGAGTAAACATGATGATAGTGATATGAGATGGTAGTATTATTTTGTTGCAGAAACTATTTTATTGTTTTCTTTAATAATTTATCAGCTTTTACTTATATAATGTTGAGAGCCTTTGCTAAAATAATTATAATAGCTATTTTTTCCTGAATTCTATGTTAGAATTTTATGTCTCAGTTACTCAAAAATTATTTATTCCTCTAAATAATTCTTACTAAAACTGTAGCACATCTTATAATATAGGAAATAGGATAAATTCTTTAAGAGATATTTGTTTGCATAGCTTTGTGATTAGTATAAAAAGTTGTATTTGTCTTTTAAAACTGAATTATTTGACTTCAAAAATATACAGATTTGAATCCTAATCATGTCAAATATATTTTTATATGTTTTACCTTAAGCATTTTAAGTGTTATTTAGTTTATATATGAAGTTTTATATATTGAGTTAGTATATATTAAAAAGTCAACAATTTAGCTATTTCTTGAGCATAATCTATTCTATAATAAAATATCCCAAAAATATTATTTTCAAACAATACAAGTTGTAATAAAATTTACCTTATACTATAAATCTTAAAAGTTGATTTTGTTAATCTGATTTAATGTAAACATTATTGAAATTATTACTCATAAACTATTAAATTAGTTTTAATAATATTTTTATATGTTATATAAAAATATATAGTTTAAATATTAATTATATTTAAAATTTTTAGGGAACAGATACAAGGAAAAAAACTTTAACATTAAGTGCCCAATTTAAAAGATCATTAGATTCTTTAATGAGGGCATTAAGCCAATGTCATCCTTTTTTCATTCGTTGTATTAAACCAAATGAATATAAAAAACCAATGGTAATTACAAAAATTTATTTAATTTCGATTTAACAGAGAATAAAAATTAACAATTAATATAATTATTGTTTACAAATTTCTTTAAAAAATCTTTTATTTATAGATGTTTGATAGAGAATTGTGTTGTAAGCAGCTGAGATATTCTGGAATGATGGAAACAATTCGAATTCGAAGAGCAGGTTACCCCATTCGGCATACCTTTAAAGAATTTGTTGAACGTTATCGATTTTTAATTCCAGGAATTGGTCCAGCTCATAAAATTGACTGTAAACCAGCTTGTATTAAAATATGTGCAGATGTACTTGGTAAAACTGATTATCAGCTTGGTAGAACGAAAGTCTTTCTTAAGGTGAAATTACTTTCATGTTGTTAAAATTTTCATTTAATAAATGTAATAATTAAAAATCTGATTAATGTGCTACTTTGATTTCAAGATTTAAAATAATTTTGTATTTTAGGATGCACATGATTTGTTTTTAGAACAAGAACGAGATCGTGTTTTGACAAGAAAAATATTGATTTTGCAAAAAGCAATTCGTGGATGGTATTATAGACGTAGATTTCTTCGCATGCGGCAAAGTGCTGTTGTAATTCAGAGATATTGGCGTGGTTATAGTCAAAGGAAAAAATTTCAGGCAGTATGTTAATACTTGTGAAATTGCATCTTAAATTACATGTATAATTTTTTTTTTCAGAAGTTAAATAACATTTTACTATCAGAAAATTGAATATATTTTTTTGTTGTTTTTCTTCTTTATCTATATAATGAAATGACTATATATTTATAAAATTTTAATTAATTAATCTTATTTTTTATTAGATGAAACTTGGTTATCAACGTCTTCAAGCACATATTCGATCCAGAATACTCTCTCATCGTTTTAAACATCTTCGTGGACACATTGTTTCCTTACAGGTATGAAAAGATTTAAAAAAGCAATGCATTACAATATTGAAAATATGCTTGATTAATTTTTTAATATTAATAACATCCAAAATGATATAATTAATCTTTAAATCTTTAAATAAACTTAGTTATAGGAATTACTTCTATTACTTCTAATCCACAATACAAGTATAATATATTATTATTGTATTATGTATTCTTATTATTGTATTGTATTCTGTATTAACTTTAAAATTTGAACACATACAGACAATATAATATAATAATAACACATTGCATTGTTCAAATTTTTCTATTTAAATATAAAAAAAGCAACAAGTCCACTTATGCTATAACCAAGCAAGGTTAAGCTTCTAGCTTGTACCAGGTTAATTAATTAAATTAATTAGTTATTAATAATAATCTTCTGATTTGTATGAGTTGCAGATTCAAGATTTATCTGAGTTTTCACTTCCTAATTATACCTTAAAATTGCTTGAATTGCAAGTATTTTAGACTATTACTTGAATTTATTAATGTTTAAAAACTAGTATATGTTGTGGTTGTACTGTTGGAGTATTGTTACAGCAGGCAATAAAGGAAAAGTTAACAAACAAACTTTGTTTTTACTACCACTACAACTTTACTTAAAACAAAAGGAATAACTTTAAGACAGATGGAACATGTCTTCATGATTTGAGAGGCAGCAATCAACACAAAAAAATTACTGTACATCTGGTCTCCAACCCAAATCTCTCTCACTTCTTTCATTCTTTCTCTCTCTCCAGCATTTTCCTTGAACTTATAAATGCTCATCTTCCAAGGGAGAAGAAGGCAGTGACAAGATGCAGGTGTGCAACCACTACATGTACAATGAATGCAATGTTCCTGTCTTGTTAGCCTACTGCCAAATGCTTCATATCTGTCAATGGTTTTTCTGATTCTGTTTGAATTGTATTATAATGAAGTCTGACAACTCTTTCCAATCAAATTTCAAAATAAAATTTAGAAAATTGATATTATTTGCATCTTAAATGTCTTTAAATATTTTGTATCATCAGAAGCTTTAAGTATTTAAACAAGTTTGTAGAATGGCATGTCTTTTAAAGATATAACATAATTTTTGTCTCAAAAATATGCAAAAGCAATGGAATCAAAGCAATGAATGATATTCAAACATCTTTACAAACCTGATACAATTAAAGCTAACCATCTACTGCTTTGGTAGATGGATAATGAATGATATTGTTTTTGGTATCTTTTTGTTATTTCATAGTTCCTTGCTTGTCAAGGAATACATTTGTATTGAATATATTCATAGTTTTCTTCTTATTTTAACCATTTCCTATCCTTGGAATAATTGTTGCAAAATTGGATTTAATTTAATTTTGCATAAATATGAGCTCTTAAGTAAAGAAATTAGATTTTAAAAATTCACTTTCATATACAAAAATAAATTGCAGTTTTCGACATGTGTAGGAGAATCACAAGATTTAGTGATTTGAAAACTTTACATTTTGAAAAAATAAATTTTATTCTAGAATATTGTTTTAAATATTATGCACTTCATACTTAATGATCTTTATATATCATGTCATTTATTGTAAATAATATACAGTTTAGTCTGTTTAATTTAAGAGAGCATCCTCCTCAGGATCACTGCCTCAAGCTGTTTTACCTGGACTGCTCTCTTATCCAAAGTAACAAGATCATCAAGGGGGTTTATTAATGGAATTTAATCCTCTTCAGTTTTTCATGTCTTAGGAGATCTTTGTAACTTATAACACACTTTGAAAATTAAAGTTCATTATCATATAATTTTACTGTACTTACATATTTGTTTCTATCTTATATCATCAATTCTATTGTTTTATTGATTAATCAGTGAATACAGTATATTTATCAATTATATTACTTTCACTTCCCAGAAATATAGCAGGTAGTCTATCTGAAAAGAGGTGAATATCCTTGCTCTAAAATTTTTGAATGGTCTTTAATGGGACATATAATATAAAAACAAATAAGTACAGTATTGCCTTAAAGGACTTGTGACTTCTGAAATCTGGTTACTAATCACTTCTTTCCTTGTCCGTTCAAGTTGCGAATGTACCTGTGATCAGTGCTGTTTATTCATATATATTTTATGATACAGTAACGTAACTTTTTAATATGTAATTGCTTCTTGTATGTATGTATAAAAAAATCTGTTCATAATCACTGTAAAAAATCTTTTGACTGTCCATGTATTAAAAAACTGATCAATGAAAGATTTCAGCAGTTTTAGAGCAGGAGTCCAAGTTTTACTCTAAAGCTGCCAACACAGTGCTCATTTAAACAAACTGCAGTACTATCTGATATTCTGTTAAATGAACTGAACTTTCTAATCTCTATGGATTAAAATAGTTATTTTACATTTTAATAACATTTTACATCAGCAAAATATAAATTAAATATAGGGGTATGCTAAAATTTTTTTAAAACACATAAAAGATCTTTAACCAATTAAGAATACTAAATAGAAATATTTCAATATATATTATATTAAAATTATAAACAATACCTTAGTTATTCTGTTGTTTATTAATTCTTAAACGTTAAGAGAGAGTATTTTGCAATTTCAATTTTCAGGCTCGATGCCGTGGACTTTTAGCAAGAAGAGAATACCATAAAAGGCATTGGGCTATTGTAAAAATACAGGCTTTTGTTAGGAGAGTGATTGCGCAAAGAAATTATCGGAAGATGAAAATAGAGGTAAGTGTTTTGAAAGTTGTATTCCTATACTAATATATGATAATTCACATTGTTACATGAAATGGTTGTTATAATTAATTTTATTCATTTAGCATCGTCATAGAATAGAAGCACTTAGATTAAGAGAACAAGAAGAAGAAAAATTGAGAAAACAAATGAATCACAAGAGAGCAAGAGAAATTGCTGAACAAAAATATAGAGAAAGATTACAAGAATTAGAATTAAGATTACGTGAAGAAGAAGTGGCAGACCGAAGAAATGTTGAACAGAAAAAAGCAGTGATAATTGATGCAGTTCATCGTCAAGAAGAACAATTAGATGATTCTAAATTAGTAAGAGCTTGCTGTTAATAAATAACAAAAAAACTTTAAAACAAGAAAAGAAAATGTTATTATTTGTGTATGCTTTAGGTCGATGCAATGTTTGATTTTCTACCACGAACCGAATCTTCAAGTGATCAAGTTGCTCCAACAGCATTCAAGGTATTTAACAATCAATAAATATAACAATACTTTTAATTAGAGAATTGTCACAAATATTTGATTACTTTTAATCTAATTACAGGATTTGGAACAATCAAGAGTGAATGCACTAGTAACTGCTGAAGCTGAAGCTGAAGGCACATTACCTGCTCCTCCCATTGATCAAGAAGACTTATCTGAGTATAAATTTCAAAAATATGCAGCAACTTATTTCCAGGGAAATGCTGGTCATCAATATCAACGCAAATCTTTAAAGCAACCATTACTTCCTCTTGCTACTCAAGGTGATTGCAAGGTAATTATTGAAAATCTAATTTTTATTTGTAATGTTTTGATAATAATTATAATTAAATATTAATGAACAATGCATAATTGAAATTTTAAATCCAATTTAAAACACTTACAATAAAAAAAATATTGAAAGTCTAATTTAACTCTTCAATTTTATTTTCAATTTAAAAATTAAGTTTTTGTTTTATCTTTATCTGAATTCTACTTTTTTGATGTTTAATATAAATATATATATATATTTTGATAAGTAATAAAATCATCATATTATTTTTATACACCAAATAAGAAAATATATATTTTATTAAAGGCTGCAAATGCTTTATGGATTACGATTCTTCGTTTTATGGGTGATCTACCAGAACCAAAATTCCATATAATGGAAAGGGTAAGTTATATATTTGAGTATACTGATGAAATTATTCAGTTTATAAAAACATACTATTCATTACAGGATAATACTTCAGTTATGAGCAAAGTATCAGCTACATTAGGTAGAAATTTCATCAAAAGCAAAGAATTTCAAGAAGCTCAGTTAATGGGAATGGAAACTGTAAGATTGCTGTAATTTCATTAATTTTTTGTAACTGATTATTTAACTGATAAAGCTAAGATAGTTCCTCTTTTTAAATAGGAAACATATACAAAACAAAAATCACGAAGTATTAGAAACAAACTTGTGTCTTTAACATTAAAGAAGAAAAATAAATTAACTGAAGATGTAAGAAGACGACTGCAAGAAGATGATGTTAATGATGATAGTTATAGTAGCTGGTTAGAAAGCAGGCCAACTTCTAATTTGGAAAAACTTCATTTCATTATTGGACATGGAATTCTAAGGGATGAACTTAGGTAAAATTTCTAACAAATATTTTTATTTGAGAAATGCATTAGAATAGAATATACAGTAGAGCATCGATTATCCGACTGAATTGTGGACTCAGGTTGGTCGGATAACTGAAAAAATCGGATAACCGAAAATAATGAAAAAGTTACATTATTAGTATAGTATATTAGTATATCGCTATTAATTAACTTCGCGTTGAATTTTCATTGATGTTAAGCCTAACAAATTTTTTTAAAATAATAATTGTCGCTATTGTATTGTTAAAAATTATTTTTAAGTTATTTTATTGCTCACAAAACAAACGACGACTCATAATTAGAAAATTAAGTCTCATTTAAATACTGGCCACCCTTCAATAGTCGAGATGGTGTTGCCAGCTAAAACACGCAAAAATTTAACAAAAATAATATTAAAGTAGCCAAGACATAGCCAAATATTGTAGCGCCACATCACTAGTGAACATTTGAATTTTGTCGACTAGAACAGTCGGTTAACCGTTGTGANATTTTATCATTAATTATTGTTTGCAATGTAATATATGTTAGTTTTACTGTCAAAGTTTTGATTGAAAATTCATGTTATGAAAAGTTGTTTTAAAATATTGTGAAAGCAAATTATCATTGTATGTGAAATGAAATCTCATTAATTCTTAAGGCAATGTTTCAACTACATACTCAATATTACCAAATATTTTTCAATTTGAAACTCTACTGTAATTGAGTTCTTAATGATATTGCTTATTGCACTGAATAAATGTGGTAAATTAATTTTCAAATTTATTCTATTTATATTTTCACATAACTCAAAATCATTTTTTTGTTTTATTTTTGAATGTAATTATGCACAAATAACTATAGAAATGTAAGATATTTATATTTAGTTGTCATTTATATAATATCAGTAATTTGTCTCTGCATCATCCTCAATTTTGCAAGAGGTATATATGCTCCACCATCTTTAGTAAAAATATCTTCTATGGTCTTGGGCTTTTTATCTTTCTGGTTATCATCATCATCCTTAGTGTTTGTGGGACTGCAAGCACGTTTCCTATCCATTGTTCTATTTGCATTCCTGTCTTATCTATCACCATAATTCCTCCTTTCATCAAATCTTTCTTCATCACTGAAATACCTGTATCTTTCGTCTCTGTATCTCGGTGGTGATTGATTCCTATCATATCTGTCAGTATACCTGCTTCTTCTGCTATCATAGTCTCTCTGGTATCTACTTTCACAGAAATTTTTATAGCTTGGTCTGAAGTTTCTTGGCCTCGTTCTATCAGAGTTTCTATGTCTTGTATCAAATTCGTCATCACTGTATCAATATTTTTTCCTTTTTTCTTTAAATCTATTCTTTTTGTGTCTATTTGATTCATTATCACTGTCTTTTTCGATATGTTCTTGATCTCAATATCTTCTATGAGCATGAGAATCAGAAAAATTTTCTGATTTCTCTGGACTGCTGTCTCTTGAAATTTTTCTATCATCCTTCTTGTGTTTTTGTTTTTTGTGCTTTTCATTATAAACAGGAGAGGGCAATTTTTCTTTATGACGATGATTATCTGATTCTTCATCACTGCGTTGGTAACATACCATTTGCTTTTTGGACGTCTTATGCATTGTAGATTTCGTCATTTATATAATATGTTGAATACTGTATAAATTTAATTATTTCAAAAAGTTACACTATCATAGTATCTGTAAGCAAAAAAATTGAAAGATTTTTAAAATTTTAAAATATAAATAACTGTATCAACAGAAAATAAATCTTATATTATATGAAAAACATGCAAAGTTATTTTCTAAATAGCATAACTTTTATAATAAATGAGTATTTAAAATAAATTAATCATAAAAATTGAAATATAGATAAACATAAATTCTTACTTTATATTTCAGAGATGAAATCTATTGTCAGATTTGTAAGCAATTAACTAACAATCCTAATAAAAGTTCACATGCAAGAGGATGGATATTATTATCTCTTTGTGTTGGATGTTTTGCTCCATCAGATAAAGTAAATGTTTTAATATCAATTTATTTGATTTCTGATTACTTTTACTAATTTAACTTTTTTTACATATTTTTAGTTTGTGAAATATCTATTAAATTTCATTCGAGAAGGTCCTCCAGGTTATGCACCTTATTGTGAAGATCGTTTAAGAAGAACTTTTATGAATGGCACTAGAGGACAGCCACCTTCTTGGTTAGAACTACAAGCCACAAAATCAAAAAAACCTTTGATGTTACCCATAACTTTTATGGATGGAAATACTAAAACACTTCTAGCAGATTCTGCTACAACTGCCAGAGAATTATGTGCTCAACTGTCAGATAAAATTCAGTTAAAAGATCAGTTTGGATTTTCACTTTATATAGCTCTGTTTGATAAGGTATTAAAAAATGTTGCTCTGTATAACCTGATTTCATTAAGATATAAAAAAATAATAAAATTTATATGCATTTGTATTAATGCTAGGTGTTCAGAATGATTTTGAACACACACAACACTACTATTTTGGTTTAGAATATGATCTACTAAAATAAATTGAATATAGCAATTACCAATATTACAGATTATAACTTTTACTTTGTTAATTAAAGGTTATTTCTCATATATTTTTAGTGCAAAAACAAAAACAGTTTTATTTTATTGGTAATTTGTTATTCTTGCTAAATACAAAAATATATACTTATACTCAAGCAGAAGGAATATCTGCTTGAGTATAAGTCTCATTGATTAATAAACACTTTTCATTTTATCATTAATTATTGTTTGCAATGTAATATATGTTAGTTTTACTGTCAAAGTTTTGATTGAAAATTCATGTTATGAAAAGTTGTTTTAAAATATTGTGAAAGCAAATTATCATTGTATGTGAAATGAAATCTCATTAATTCTTAAGGCAATGTTTCAACTACATACTCAATATTACCAAATATTTTTCAATTTGAAACTCTACTGTAATTGAGTTCTTAATGATATTGCTTATTGCACTGAATAAATGTGGTAAATAGCTCTAGCTGAGAAAAGTTTCATTAGATAAAATTAAATATTAGAAATCATAATATATTAATTATGTTTATATATTATAAAAATAACTACTAAGTACAAGAAAGCCAAATGCCTATCTATTAATGAAACATTTATACATGTAGTAATATTAATGAAACATTTAAAATTATTATTTTTTATTGTCTTAAGGTATCATCTTTAGGAAGTGGAGGAGAGCATGTTATGGACGCAATATCACAGTGTGAACAATATGCAAAAGAACAAGGTGCTCAGGAACGTAATGCACCATGGAGATTATTCTTTAGAAAAGAAATATTTGCACCATGGCATAATCCATCAGAAGATCCTGTTGCCACTAATCTTATATTTCAACAAGTAGTGAGAGGTGTCAAATTTGGTGAATATAGATGTGATAAAGTAAGTATAACATTTATATACCATAATTGTTTTAATAATTGTCCTAAGAGATATTTTACATTCTCCAGTAATTTATACAAAAAAAAATTTTTTTTTAGTGTGTTATAAAAACCACATATTTTCCATGAAATATATTGACATGGTTTAGAATTTGGAATGATGATAAATAATGCTTTATTCAATTTACTGGGAAAGTTATAAAGCTTACAAAAAGAATTTTTTCTCTCAAGTAGTCTTAATATGTTTTTCTGAATCTTTTTCCTTTAATTTTTGTGACAGTATAATATATAAAATGATGTTATATTTCAAATACAGTTTTCTCNCATTTCCAAAAATAACATCAAGTTGACAATCTTTCATTTGTTTCAGATTATTTTTTCATTAATAACAAAATTAAAGATTATTGTAAATTAAATTTTAGTTAGGAGGTATGACATCATTTCTTTCAAATGGTGTCTAAGCAGCAAAGAACTTGTACAATGTAGACAAGAAATAAACAAAAAATGTAAAGTTATTCATCCTTAGAATAAGATACACAACTGTGAAAATATTTACACAAAAATCATTGTATATTGAGAAATTTATTAAACCTTAAATCTATTTATAAGAAAAGAATTTAATGCCAATATTGAAAATAAAATAGATTTAACAATAACTTGATTCATAATGACAATAGATATTAAAATTCTTTCGGAAAAAAAATGGCAAAGATTCAATATAAAGTTATAAAAGGAAAAATATCTCTTACACTTTTTGAATATTTTAGTTTCAATTCATTGCAAAAACAACTTTGTATTTAGAATCTTAAAAATCAAACATCTAGAAGGTAACTTTAAATGTATAATGGAAGTTATTAAACCATGATTGCAATAAAAATTTGAATTTCCATTAAACTTTGTTGTCAAAAATTTGATTTTAGATCAAAGGATAATGAGGATGAAATAAGACAAAGATATTAGGAAAGAAATTTAACAATGAAATTAAAATTTATTTTTGGAAAATGTATGAAGTGTATGAATAGCTCTGGAAGAGAAATAAATACCATAAAAAATTTAAGGAAATGATAAAGATTACTGGAATTTACAGGGTTATATTCTAATGATGTACATATTCTCAATATAATTGAAGTTGCATTGATGACTACTTTAGCAGAAAAAGTTTGGAACAAAATCATTGAATTGGGTTGAAATGAGAGCTAAAATTTAAATAAATGATTGGTTAAATAATTTAATTAAATAATTTTAAAAACAGCACTCTGTACTGTTTTTAAAATTATCTGTTTTCTTAGAATAAAATATCTAAAAGATTGTAGAAAAGAGAAGCATTATTCAAAATTTAAAATAGATTGTTTGGAAAGAAATAAAAACAATAGTCTAAAAATTTATGAATCTTTTCACTGTTTAATTCTTATTATAGTCACTAGTTACTAGAAATGGTAAATAAAAAGAAATTATCTTATTTTTAAAAATAATTTTGTATATATTTTTCAATATACAGAATTTAGTAAAAATTAAAATTCTCATATAACATAAAAAAATTAATGTATTTGTAAACTTTAAAATTTTTTAATTAACAATGACTAAGAAATTTTAACTTCTTAATAAATATAAGAGAAAATTAAACTTANACAACTATTTTTGTCTTTGTCTTCAATTGTATTACACGTAGCCTGAAATTTACAATGTCTTTTTAAGAAGTTTATCATGGCATGAAAAAATTGCCAGATTAAAAAAATACCCACATTTAACTAAACCTTTAATTTCAAGTAACAAAATTTTTTTAATTTTTGGCCTTATCCAAGGTCTTCATCAGATCATCATCAATATTCCAAAATTGGAATGTGCAGAACAAAAACTTTTCAAAATATTTTTTTAAATATTGAATAGTTAGAGCAAAAACATAATGTTGTAAAACAACAACAAATTAATCAGCTGCAAGTATACAATTAAACAAGATATAAATATAAGAAATAATAGTAATAGTAATTATTATTATTAAAATTTCTAAATTTAAAAAATTTTTGTTCTGGCAATCTTTTATCACATAATAGTTATTAATTTTGTTGGCAATTCTTGGTTTTTCATAAAAGCCATTACCAAGCATATGAGATGCTTTTTTCTGTATTTAACATTAATACAATTGCCAGTCAAGTTGGTTTATGCTTATGCTTTGGACCGGGGAGGTCAACATAGTTATCATGAATTATCATACATGGATCCTGGATGGATGAAAGATCTCCACCCCAGTCCAAAGCATAAGATGTGAGGGCAGTTATGCTTCAGACCAGAGGTGGAGTTCTTCATCTATCCAGGATCCTCCACTCTATGTATGATAAGATGCTTTTATGACATTTGGAGAAGTATGATATCTACAAGGCTTCTGTAAAAAATAGCCAGGCACCACACCTACTATGCGGCATGTATGATTCTAAATGAAGAAGTTTTTCATTGAATCGTTACATTCCACCTGAAGATGTGTACTGGAAAGTAGATGAAAACGTTTATGCAATTGTTTAATTGCTGGATTTTGGATTGACTTTGTGAGTAGTTTGTTTTTCTTTAGCTATACATAGACAAATANAAGTAGCATTTTTTATTTCTAGTTTAATGTTTTAGTGCTTAAAAGTGTTGGTTTGTAATAAGAGATTTCTCAATAAGAATTCTCATCACAGGCACATTTTAATCGGTTAAATTAATTGTTATATTAAAAATTTGTTTTTAAAAGGAAGAAGATCTTGCTATGATAGCAGCTCAGCAATATTATATTGATCATGGCACAGATCTCCTCTTAGATCAATTAGTAGCATTGCTGCCAAATTACATTCCTGATTATTGTCTTCAAGCAAGTGATAAAAGTATTGAACGATGGTTAAATCATGTTACAAATGCATATAGTAAGGTAACTTAATATATTTTTTTTTTTAATATATATACAGATATATTAGAAATTAAATTACACATACTGTATTAGTGTGTAAGAAAGGCATCTGGTAACTAATCTCACATTATTACCAGAAATTTATTATTTTTAGGAATATTATTACAGTTTTTCAATAGTTGATTAATTGAATATGAATATTCTGATTTTGTTTTTTTTATCAAACTAATTAATTGAATTTTTAATATTATTTTGTTTAATAAGTAATCAATAACATTTTATTGATCTATTAGCAAAAAACTATCATTATGAAGAATTTTTCTTTTAGATATGTGCTTAAGATATCACAATTTAACTGTTAATAGTTCTAAATTAAATTAAAAATAGATAAATAAAACATCAAACTTAAACTACTTTAAATTTTGAACAGTAATATTGTCACAAGTAAGTTTCTTCCAATTGTTATCATCACATTCTTTTTGAGTGCTTTCTTCACACAAATAAACAGTAATACTTTCTTTTCAAAAATAATAAATTATATATTTTATAGAGCTACTACTATCAAGAAAGAGTACCACCATTGAGAGTTAAGGAAGATGTTGTCGATTATGCCAAATATAAATGGCCATTGCTTTTCTCTCGTTTTTATGAAGCTTTAAGATCATCTGGTCCTCATTTGCCTAAAAATGATGTAATTATTGCTATTAATTGGACAGGAGTTTATGTTGTGGATGATCAAGAACAAGTGCTTTTGGAGTTATCATTTCCAGAAATTACTACAATAAACAGTCAAAGGTAAAATTTATAAATATGAATTATTATCAGATCAGATTCTTTTATGGTATCTGTAATTTTGTTTTATTTGATAGATTGATTATTATGAATGTTAATTATTATTCATTTGATCACATTATACAGTCTAATATGCTTAGAATTATTAAAGATGGCTATGCTCTATAAAATAAAAGAAAATAGAAGTTAATTAATATGTAGAAAAATCTCAAATAGCTATCTATCTAAATGTATATATATATAGAATACGGTAAGACAAAATCTTGCCATTCTGCTATTGAACTTACCCATTCAGTCAATGGCTAGATGGTCAAGCAGTTAAGGTATCAGTCTACCTCACTGGGGACCCAGGAATGAATCTGGATGGGTCAAAAACTCCAGGAATGTTTTGGGAGTGTTTCATCTCAGATACATTATGCCTCTTTCCTCAACACTTGGCCAATGCACTGTGGGCCTGACCAAACATCATGACTGCAATTAAAAAGCTCTCTTAGTGTCCACAGGGTAGAAAGAGTCTAAAAAATATCCATTCTGTGTAAAAACATTTCCAAAAATAACATCAAGTTGACAATCTTTCATTTGTTTCAGATTATTTTTTCATTAATAACAAAATTAAAGATTATTGTAAATTAAATTTTAGTTAGGAGGTATGACATCATTTCTTTCAAATGGTGTCTAAGCAGCAAAGAACTTGTACAATGTAGACAAGAAATAAACAAAAAATGTAAAGTTATTCATCCTTAGAATAAGATACACAACTGTGAAAATATTTACACAAAAATCATTGTATATTGAGAAATTTATTAAACCTTAAATCTATTTTACATAAAATTTATTAATATATTTATTTCTTTATTTTATTTATTTGTAATTTAACCACAATTTTTTACAGCAAATATTTACTGGGTACAGCTAATAAAAATAATAATCAAAATATGGAAAATTTCATTAAAAATATCAAAAGGTGGATTGAAAAAAATTATAGATTAATGAAAGTTTTGTAATTAAAATACTACTACTTAAAGCATAATACTTTGTTATATAAAAGTATATTTTAAAAGTATAAAAGGATATACTGTATTTGCTGATTATTATGTTTATCCATATTTAGAAATTTAAAATTTGAAAAATACTTTATTAAGCATTTATTTTCTAATATTCTAATAGGAACTTTTTAATTTTAACAGAAGTAGTCGTCCTTTCCTTCAAAGTTTTATAGTTGCTACTATTCGAGGAGAAGAATTTACTTTTCAGTCACCAAACTCAGATGATATTCGTGAACTTGTTGAATTCTTTTTAGATGGCTTGAAAAAGAGATCTAAATTTGCAATTGCCCTTCAAGATTATAATGGTTAGTGTTTTTAATTCTATTTATTTTGGATAAATTTAAATTTGTTACTTCAGCAAAGGATTGATCCTCATTAAACTACAGGAGATGGCCCATCCTTCCTAAGCTTAAATCAGGGAGATCTGATTTTTCTTGAAGATGGACATTGTGGTGAAACACTTACAGCAAATAATTGGTGCATTGGAAGATGTGAAAGAACAGGAGAAAAGGGAGATTTTCCATCTGAATGTGTATATGTACTTCCTGCCTTAAGTAAACCTCCTAATAATATACTTGCATTATTTACACAAGAAGGTGCAGAAGAAAGCAGACAATTGTTTTCAATAAGGCAGACCAATGGTCCTGAACCAATGGAAAAGCCTCATACATTAGAAGAATACTCTCTTGATCATTTTAGGTAATGCATATTCTTTATAAGATTTCCTAACTATTTGCATGATATTTAATGTGTTTAAACAATAGGCCACCACCAAAACGAACAATACCTAGAACATTAACACTATCATCAGCACGCAGAAGAGATAACGAACAATTATGGCGCCATTCTAGAGAACCAATCAAACAACCATTGCTCAAGAAATTATTAAACAAGGAAGAACTTAGTCAAGAAGCTTGTTTTGCATTTAATGATATCCTTTTATTTACTTTAATAAATTTAAAATAAAAGAAAATTAGAACATAATTAAAAATCTCAGTTTTATTTATACGTACGAATATACAAATACTAAAAATTAACTTAACATTTTACCTGTTTTGAAATATATGGGTGATCTACCATCTCGGAGAACAAGAACTGGTAATGAATTAACAGATCAGATATTTGACGGTCCTCTAAAACATGTAAATATTTTATTTACTTGTAATCAACCATACAATAATATTACTTCAAAAGTAATTATTTTCTTTATTTATTAAAAGGAAATATTAAGAGATGAAATCTATTGTCAAATAATGAAACAACTCACAGAAAATAAAAACAGGTTAGTATTATTAATAGTAATATGATATAATGAGTGTACAGTAATACCTCGACTTACGCGAACTTGGAGTTACGCGATTTTCAAATCTCGTTGATTTGTCTTTTGTTTGAGCACCACGCAACTCTTGATTACTCACTCCCCTCCCACACTATTGTTCAGCTTACATGTTCGGACGTGTCGCGCAGAATTGACACATAACTACAATTTATTTTGTGTTATTTATTTCTGTGTTTTATTATATCTACGGAGACTTGAAAGACACTATGTGGTGATTTCTTGTAACCGTGAATGAATCAAATGACGAGATAAGATTAACGAGAACATTTATTAGCTTACATACATTCGACTTGGATTTTACACAGATTGCGAAATTATACCCCGACTTACGCGGTTATTGCTCGGTCCCACCTATTGCATAAGTTCAGGGTATTACTGTACTGTACTTAGACCTATATGAATGTTTAATTTCAGATTAAGTGAAGAAAGAGGATGGGAGCTCATGTGGTTGTCTACAGGTCTTTTTGCTCCTAGTCAAACTTTATTGAAAGAATTGACCTTGTTTTTACGCACACGCAGGCATCCCATTGCCATGGATTCTCTTCAGAGACTTCAGAAAACACTCAGGTTTATTAATTAATTTACATAATTGAATTAACTTTAGAAAATCACATTACTTAAAAATAAATAAATTTATAGAACTGGACAGAGAAAATACCCACCACATTTGGTAGAAGTAGAAGCAATTCAACATAAAACTACACAAATTTTTCATAAAGTTTATTTTCCTGATGATACAGATGAAGTATGAATTATGACTTAGTAAATTTTAAAATAAGTTTAAATTAGTTAATATGTAATGAATTTAATTACAGGCATTTGAAGTAGATTCTAGTACAAGAGCCAAAGATTTTTGTCAGAATATTGCACAGAGATTAAATTTAAGATCTGCAGAAGGGTTTAGTTTATTTGTGAAAATTGCTGACAAAGGTAAATTCATTTAATGATTAAAATTCACTAAATATATTTCCAAAAATCATTTTTTTTTCCTACAAACTTAGTGATAAGTGTACCAGAAGGAGATTTCTTTTTTGATTTTGTTCGGCATTTAACTGACTGGATTCGGAAAGCAAGACCTACAAGAGATGGTTAATTATTTATTTTAAATATAAAAAATGTACGATTACTGTTTAGATGTTAAAGGCAAATTAAATTTTTATCAGGTTCAATTCCTCAGTTCACATATCAAGTGTTTTTCATGAAAAAATTATGGACAAATACAGTTCCTGGGAAAGATAGAAATGCAGATATAATATTTCATTATCATCAGGTATTTAAATGTTAGAATTTTAATATCTTAAAATTTGTCATTTATTTACAATACATCTACAATGTAGGAATTGCCAAAATTATTACGTGGATATCACAAATGCACTAAAGATGATGCAGCAAGATTGGCTGCCCTTATTTATAGGGTAAGATTTGGTGAAAGCAAAGTGGAATTACAAGCTATTCCGTATGTATTTTTGTAAATTTAGTAAATAATAACTTCAAGATAGCTTGTTGATTAAATTAATGAGTATTTCATTATTTTTTTTAAAGAACATTACTAAGAGAACTAATTCCTGCTGATATAATGAAAGTACAGAGCACTAGTGATTGGAAAAGAGTAATTACCCTATTTTGTATCAATTTAAATTATAAAAAAATTTCTTGGATTTAACATATTGATGTTTGCAGTCAATCGTTGCTTGTTATAATTCGGATGCTGGTCTAACTCCCGAAGATGCTAAAGTTAACTTTCTAAAAACAATATACAAATGGCCTACATTTGGCTCAGCATTTTTTGAAGTGAAGGTATTATTATAATGTCTTTGTTTATTACAAAGAACTTAAATATATTTTAAAATATCAATATCATTTATATTTATAGCAAACAACTGATCCAAGTTATCCAGAACAGCTTCTTATAGCAATTAATAAACAAGGAGTTAGTTTAATAAATCCAATATCTAAGGTGAGTAGAACCGTTTAAGAGTTTATTGATGATAAAAGTAATTTACCAATAATGTTTTCCTACGTATTTTAAATTTCAGGATATTTTAATTACCCATCCTTTCACTCGTATATCCAATTGGAGTAGTGGAAATACTTATTTCCACATGACTATTGGAAACTTGGTCCGTGGAAATAAGTTATTATGTGAAACTCCACTGGTAAATTTTAATATTTTAATCATTATGGTTGAGATTATTTGTTATTATGGTGTCTTATCATTCATAATTTTTTTAGGGTTATAAAATGGATGATCTTCTAACATCATACATCAGTTTAATGCTAACAAATATGAATAAGCAAAGGACAATACGAATTAAGAACTAAATGTAAATTTGTTTGCCCAAAGAAAAGTTGCTTGTTGATAAGTAATAGATTACTATGTAATCTATACTATTTGTTATTGATGTACAGAAAATTAAGTGCTCAGAATGAAATTTAAAGCTAATTAACATGCAAAATAACTACAAATTTGATACTCTGTATGTTATGTAATATTTAAAATTTTAATGTCACAGCCTCAATGTTTATATATTTTTACACACAAAATCATGTTTATTTTGCACGTTTGGTGCAACGTGAATGAAAAAATTCACACATTCATCTTGCTCGGCAGGGATGCGGTCTACGTGCATACGTGTGTTTTCTTATTTAAATTCTCAAGTGCATCACAATCATAGCAACATTGTAGATTTTTTAAATTTTCTGAATAAAAATTTTGAAAAATTAATTATTTCATCCAATATAAAATAGTGAAATTAAAATTTAAAAATTTTAAGACAACTATTTTTGTCTTTGTCTTCAATTGTATTACACGTAGCCTGAAATTTACAATGTCTTTTTAAGAAGTTTATCATGGCATGAAAAAATTGCCAGATTAAAAAAATACCCACATTTAACTAAACCTTTAACTTCAAGTAACAAAAATTTTTTAATTTTTGGTCTTATCCAAGGTCTTCATCGGATCATCATCAATATTCCAAAATTGGAATGTGCAGAACAAAAACTTTTCAAAATATTTTTTTAAATATTGAATAGTTAGAACAAAAACATAATGTTGTAAAACAACAACAAATTAATCAGCTGCAAGTATACAATTAAACAAGATATAAATATAAGAAATAATAGTAATAGTAATTATTATTATTAAAATTTCTAAATTTAAAAAATTTTTGTTCTGGCAATTTTTTATCACATAATAGTTATTAATTTTGTTGGCAATTCTTGGTTTTTCATAAAAGCCATTACCAAGCATATGAGATGCTTTTTTCTGTATTTAACATTAATACAATTGCCAGTCAAGTTGGTTTATGCTTATGCTTTGGACCGGGGAGGTCAACATAGTTATCATGAATTATCATACATGGATCCTGGATGGATGAAAGATCTCCACCCCAGTCCAAAGCATAAGATGTGAGGGCAGTTATGCTTCAGACCAGAGGTGGAGTTCTTCATCTATCCAGGATCCTCCACTCTATGTATGATAAGATGCTTTTATGACATTTGGAGAAGTATGATATCTACAAGGCTTCTGTAAAAAATAGCCAGGCACCACACCTACTATGCGGCATGTATGATTCTAAATGAAGAAGTTTTTCATTGAATCGTTACATTCCACCTGAAGATGTGTACTGGAAAGTAGATGAAAACGTTTATGCAATTGTTTAATTGCTGGATTTTGGATTGACTTTGTGAGTAGTTTGTTTTTCTTTAGCTATACATAGACAAATAGTTTAATATATATATACAAGTTCTGTTTTTACTCATTTTATTGCAGATTTTTCATTTCTTGCATAGTTTGTTTCAATTTTAAATGTCTAATGAAAATGGATAATTAGATTTAAAAACTTTTTAAGTTTTCAATTCTAATGCTTATTTTAGTAGGGTGTCTAAAAATCCTGTAATAAGTTTTTTAAAAGATATTTTAAGTTCTTAATTTGTGAGAAAAAGTCTTATAAATTTTTCAATGCATTTCAAATAAAAATTTTGGAGAAGTTATTTAAAATTCATAAAAATTACTAGTCATATTAAAGCACAATTGCCCGAAAAGAATTTTCCTCTGCCCAATATACCATGTCTATACAGAGTCAGAGAGAAAAATGAACAATTTCGCATACCCTTATGTGAATGAACTTATCTTCTTTTTCCGAGTGGTTACAGATGCATTTACTACTATGTTTCTTAGCAGGCTTATAAGTTATGACTAATTTTTGGATTTTTGCAGTTTGGGTAAGAATTTTTGATCCCATCACCAAAATGAAATAAAATATAAGTGAAATATTTGGAAAAATATCATTTTATAATATGTGGTATAATANTATATCTAAGTTCTGTTTTTACTCATTTTATTGCAGATTTTTTATTTCTTGCATAATTTGTTTCAATTTTAAATGTCTAATGAAAACAGATAATTAAATTTAAAAACTTTTTAAGTTTTCAATTCTAATGCTTATTTTAGTAGGGTGTCTACAAATCCTGTAATAAGTTTTTTAAAAGATATTAATTTGTGAGAAAAAGTCTTATAAATTTTTCAATGCATTTCAAATAAAAATTTTGGAGAAGTTATTTAAAATTCATAAAAATTACTAGTCATATTAAAGCACAATTGCCAGAAAAGAATTTTCCTCTGCCCAATGTACCATGTCTATACAGAGTCAGAGAGAAAAATGAACAATTTTGCATACCCTGATGTGAATGAACTTATCTTCTTTTTCCGAGTGGTTACAGATACATTTACTACTGTTTCTTAGCAGGCTTATAAGTTATGACTAATTTTTAGATTTTTGCAGTTTGGGTAAGAATAATTTTTGATCCCATCACCAAAATGAAATAAAATATAAGTGAAATATTATTGGAAAAATATCATTTTATAATATGATGGCATACTTTCCATAAAAAATTTTGTAAATGTAGAAATAAATTTCCAAAAAACTATAGGAAATTTTCAAAAGTATCCTAGCTTTTTTGCTTCCCCCCTCTATGTACAAAATACTCCTCAAAATAATTGTAGAAGTTATTAATAAAATTCCATTTTTTCTTCTTGAAGCATCTTCAAAGAATCGTTTATTGTTTTAATTTGATTTTCTGCAATTTTTAGAAGCAGATGAGCAACTTTAGCATTACTAATGTATTTATTCCTAGATTCAAGGCATTTTTCTGCAGCTTGCACATCATTATGTAAGTCTTCTTTCTTTTTTTTTGAGTTTATCCAGTTTAGTTTGTATTTTTTTCCCTGTTGTTCTTCTGCCAGTTTGGCTTTCTGTAGTTCTTTCTCTACTTTTTTTACTTTCCCAGCTCTGTTATATATAAGGCAATTATATAGTATAAGGTTATATATTAAGGCTGTTATATAGTATGGCAATCAGTCAAAAAAATCACCCCCCACGATTGTTACACTTTTGGTCTCAGGACTTTGAAATGTCAAGAAATGCAAAAATTTGGGCGTTTTCTGTATGTTTCGATGATAGTGTGTGGGACACAATTTTGTTCACCTTTGAAGCTTAAAAGGGAAAAAAATTTGTGTGCTTTTTGTTGAAAATTTCTTAAATTTTGAAGTTTGTTTATTAGGAGATTGATGCTATTAAATTTTGGTGGTGGGAGGTTGTGTGTCATATCTCGAATAGGGTTGGACTTAATGATAAATTTTACTCGTTATTAGCATTTACAATTTTTTTTTATAAAACCCATCCCTACCCTCAAAATGATATATTTAATTTTTATAAAATGGCAAAAAGCTTAAAAAGTTTTTAAAATAAAATATCATAATAGATAGTGCTATACAGTTTAAATGTTGCTGGATTTTTCTTTGCTCAACATTGTGCAACTTCTGCCTCCACTTTCTTTCTTTCTGTTAGATCTTTCTTGCTTGCTGGTTTGCATTCATTACACATCTCAATTTCCTTTGTAATGGAAATAGCAAGGACTTTTCCATTATACCATTTCACATAATCCTTTATTGTATGCTGTGCATTGAAGATATTGTGATTCATTTGTGACCAAGTAGTAGTTAACAAGTGTTTTGTTAATGGAGGAGCACTATTACATGATAATAGCATAAAAGTTGCTTTCACTAACAGATTCAAAAGCTTTTATTTCAGTTTACCAATATCTTACAAAATACCTAGTATATTTACCCACTAATTGTTGATACATTGATACAGCACACACTCTTCTCCAGAATTCTCACTTACTCTGCTCTTAATATGACACATTGATTTTAATATTATCTCACCAAGAAATCATTTCACAAATCATTGTAAACATCTGGGTTTCTGTGAGAAAAATTGAAGAATATTGTGCATTATACTGTACAGTACATCCAAATAAGAGAATTTTTCAGTGGAAGTGACTCGGTAAATATAAGGTTGCCAACTTGTATGGATGGATTTTAGATCTTTCTAATAAGTTGCCACACTTCCTGAAGAGAAAAGTAAAGTAGATCAGCAGTTGTGCTTTTAAGGGACAAAAGATTTTAATTCTAAACATCAACTAAGCAAAGTTTCTTTCCTTCTTTTTCTTCAATAACTACTGGTCTACTTTACATTAAATTTCTAACAGATTCATTTAATTAATCTTCAAAGCAAAATCAAAATACCTCTTTGAAAAAGGAAAAGAAATCCTTTGAACAAAACACAATATTCTGATAAAATGTAGTACAAGTAAACTTGACTTGATTGATTCCAATGTGTTGATTTCTGTCACTACTATTAATTTTTTTTCATTTTACACAGAAAGTACAAAACTAGAACAACAAATCTTTAACTTTTAGAATAGGTTGAAATGTATTTTGTAAAATAAAAGTTAAAGATAAAGATTTGCCTTTTTGACGATGTGGTTTTTCCATAACACAGAGAAAAGGATATGGTAGTGTCAGAAATCACTAGTACAATATAAGTATATTGGATAGCTTCCATTTTTTTCATCGTAGACCCAATTCATTTGAAAGTATTTTTGATTTTTGGTTATCTTGAATTGTCTTGATCCTTCTTTAATAAGACATCTTTAACATCTTTAAGAAGTGCTCTTTTAAAGTTTGCTATTAATTAATCAACTAATTACTGGGTCAAGACTCAAACAGATTAAATGATGTTGTTGTAAAAAAGAACTGAATGCCAAGATCTAGCATGTGCTGCATTTTGAACCAAGTCTGTAGCAAAATTAATATAAAAGACTAATTCAACAAGACCTTTAGAAAAAGCTGTTTGAACAGTATGAATGCTACAAGTTCATATCAATAAAAGTGAGAGGAGATAAACTTATTTCTTATGCAATCTTAAAATATTTGATCATCCATTGAAAGCATTGGCAAAGTATGTGTGCAGCTTCCTCACAGTGGTGCCAAAAAATGTTATAAAATTTTTATAATTTTACTTAATTTTAAAAATATTGGCTATTTTGATTTTGCAAATTGTACTTGTTAGAATTTGACATAGGGCACCTTGGGAAAATCTGGATTTAGCAAGGGTGTGAGAATCAAAAAAGTTTGGGAACCACTGGCCTACATAATTGAATTTAATACTGGGCACTTCTGGTGTACAGTTTTTCTCTCTCTGAACAAATTATTAAATGTAAGAAATAAGTACAGGTATCCCTTATAGCAAGGTACACCAGAAGTGCAGTGTTACACTATACAAAACATAGGATTACATTCCAGAAGATAGTAATGAAAAAGAATAGTATACTTTTGCTAAGAGAAATATGTTTATTAAAGCAATCAATAATTTAATTCCATCAACAATGTTACTATTAATTTCAGTTAAACGAGGTCATTTTCTATTTACAAAGTGTTGTAATCATCTCAGTTTTTTGTTGATCTTTATCAGAAGTATCGGCAACATTTTCATATTTTTATCATAAAAATTTTTAATTAATAACATATTTTTATTTTGTCATTTGTTAAAATTTGTTCTAGCAAATTGTTTGTTGTCAAATACCAAGAGAATTTTTTCCAGAATTTGTGTTTGAATACCAAGATACTGCTGTATTTCATTTGTAAGTAATACATATGGTTAAAAAATGTTTGTTTAAATATTTTTAGGTAAGTGTTATTAAACTTTTCTTTTTATAGATTAATCTTCATACTTAGTAAACACACTGGTTAAGGGTTAAAGTCTGAAAGCAATAATACCTGGTTGACAGGAAAGTTAGTGTAAATTTTTCTTTCTTGTTCTGTCAGTTTTCATTAAAGTAAACCTGATGAAAAGCACAAAATAATTTGAAAATTTCAATATTCTAAAATCTGTGGGCAAATTTGAGACAACATGCATGCTTACTTGAATTTAAAAAAATAAAATAATGATGTTTACACTTAAAAATTGTGAAATTTTGTACCAAGGCTTTCCAAAATCACATTGTACTTCAGATTGTAACATGATTTGTCTCCACATGCCCACTTCTTGCACCACCTTCCCAGACCTGGAAAAATATTATCACAACATTGACATAATTGCTCACACACTTGACATCCCAATCTTTCATTTGAAGGAACCAAATATTTTTTTTCTATTTTTTCACAATTCTAAGCATATTAAAACTAAAAAATATGAAAAGTATATTTTATTTAAAAAATCTACAGTAAACATTCACTTGCTATATGGACCAACGAGACATGCAACAACTATACAGTCATTTTATATTTCAAATAATTGTACAAATTAAAATGTGTTACGATAAATTATTTCTTTGTCAAACAATCCATCATTGTATACATAAAATATCACAAGGACATTTTTCGGCCTTCTATGCTGATCGTCACCGCCCTCTGAACCTTGGAGAGTTTCTTCTTTTCTCTAAAGTTACGAATGTGTTTGTCCAGTCTTGTTACTTGTTTCCTATTGCTACCCTATTGAAATAAAGGAAAAGACACTTAAAATTATTGTCAAAGTATTATATTATATCTAAAGCAGTAATTAAAATTTTGGTGGTGGTTCCAGGATGTTTGCATAAATCAATGATCCTCTACTGTATGTAATTTTACATAAATTTTTTATTGGCAGTTTTGGTGTAACATTATGTAGTCCAGTCTGTATTTTTAGGAATCAATTATGTTGTAAAAAGCTAATACAGTAGTTTTTACATATTTGTATTAGTAGCAAAGACCTTTTCTGTAAACTATTCAGATTAATGTGCATCCTATAAATATAAAGGCACTACAAGGTTTCTATATAAAATCATTAATTTTTAGCTTGCTTGAACTTTCACAAATGCACATAGGAAACAAAAAAGGGTTATCATTTTTTATGTCTCAATAAATTGATTGTAATTCTTTAAAATTATTGACTGTTCCAGTTAATTTTGTTATATGCTTTTATATTTTTTGGGACAATGACATGTTATTAGGTTATTGTTAATTAAATATACTTTATCATCCAATGAAGCCTCCTTTGGCTAAAAAAAACTAAAGCTGGTCTGGTTGTATGAGTTTTTGGAGAACAGATGTACTGTACTTATTTCTTCCCAGTGAAGAATTATGGCTTGTTTTAGTTCCTTTGCCTTATATTGCCAGAATCACCAAAAGAACATTTCATCAGATTAAGATCAAGAAATAGACATGGCTATCAATAATTTTACCCCATTAGCTATAAACCATTCATATGTAGAATTTGTTATGTGAATGAGAATACATTCTGCAAAAGAATGAGAGAATGCAAGAGAATGATCACTGTCTTGATAATCATTTGCATTTTTACAGGGTGTACAAAACTAAGTGGAGTTTCTCCCTTGATAACAGGGGATGGTTTTAGTTGGCATTTGGAATGTAGTCCTTTCTCCCTTCTTAAAACATTCTAGTTAGTGGCTCCAATCGTCTGGACTGTCGAGGTTGAATATTTTTTTTTCTTGTCACTACAGATGATTTGTTTCCACATGTCAGGCCAAGGAAAAAGTGAGCTGGATGATAGTAAATGTTTCTTCTTTTGAGTAGCAGGTATTCTTGACTTAATGCATAAGGTGCCGGCATGTCCACACAACTCTTTCAATAGTTGATTTGCCAACATTACTAATGCTCGGGCACTGCTGCTGGTTAATAATGGCTCAAACTTGGAGATCAATATGGTCAAAATGCCACATTGATCTCCAATTTTAATAAAATTGTTAATTACAGTGGATGATCAATTTAATTTTTTTTGGCAATTGCTCTTTCAGAATAATTTTCTCTATGAAATAACAAGAATTTCATCTTTGTCTGTTAGAATTGCTAATTTAACAATGAGCTGAAGAAACTTAAACAACTAGAAATAATGTATTCTCATTAATCAGCTATAAAGTTTAAAATACAATAAAATTTAATAAAGGGTCATTCAAGGTTAAACAAGACTTATTTCTACAGACCAACAGGAATGTCCAAAACATGTATAAACTATGTCAATTTTTCGAAATACTCTCCATCTGTATGTAGACATTGTTTCCAGCGGTAGGTTGGTTCCTGATACCTTTCTCGTAGAAAGAAGTGGGCTGATGTCATAGCCAGCACAGGACAACTTGCTGCAGTTTGTCATCTGTCTGGAATTTTGTTTCTCCTAGGTGCTCTTTAAGGGACCCAAATAAATGATAATTGCTGGGAGCCCATATGGCACACATCTTGCAGATGATTACCAACACTGATGGGCACTTCGTCTGCAGTGTTGAGAAAATGTGTCTCACAGTTACTCTCTGGTTCTCCAGGATAACTTGCTCAACTCATGCAATATTCACTGGCATTACTGCAGTTGGACGAACATATCCATGTGCTTCATTTGTCACCAAATTGTCTACTTCATTCATACACTCTTACTCATGATAGCATTTGTTCCCCGTACTGTGCACTCAAAATTTCAGCAGGTTTAACCTTTTCCTTCACAAGAAATTTGATTATACATCACTGTTCCACCAATGCGGATACATTATCTTCTGTCATAGTTGCTACTGAAATCTTAGTATGGATAATTCTACTCCTCCTTCGGGTTTTACCATGCTACATTTACTTTTCTAAATTATAGGCAGAAAAGTCTTGTTTAACCCTTGTATTTTATATCCTTTTTTTAAAACTGTTAGCTATCAGACAGGACGCCCTTTGGACCCATATGTAAACGCAACACTGAGATTGTTTGTATATCAACCAACGTTGTAAAGGAATTTTGCCTATTTTTCTGAGTTTAGGGACCTTTCCAAATTTTTAGTAATAATTATTTTAAATCAATTACATTCAGCAGGTAGTTGTCCAGCTACAGCACTTCTCACAACAGCAAAGTCTTCAACCAGTTCTTGCAGAGTAGTTTTGTCCCATTTGTCTGCAGTTGTAGCAAGTGAGAACTCAATTGGTGGTATGTCCATTGTAGTTTAACAGGGCAACTAATCAGCACCAATGACAGTTAGCAGTTCTATTCTTTTCATTTTGGTCAGAGAACTTTTTTGAAAGTGTTCATTATCAGTTCTGATCTTCAGGGAAGGCCTTCTGTATAGTTTCAGCTTGTCAATCTCTCCCTCATTGTAATACAAATCTTCATCTAGCCATTTCATCTTGGAAAATCAAATTTTTCCTTTCATATTCTAGAAGTTCTATGAAAAGCAATGAAGCTGCTTGTTGTTTATAACCAACAACAAGCAACTTCATTCCTTACTAAAAAGTTCTTAGCAATTCCTAATTCCATAATTTTAGCATTTAAAGTCAGTAATTGTTTAATTTGCCATCTCACCAATGAGTCGACTACTAAAAACCACTAGTGATTTATGCCCAATTGTTGCCATTTCTTCTATTTTGAAAAGGACAGTTTCATTGCCTAAAAATAGAGTAAACTGTAATTTCTTTAGTTTGGATGGCCATCTATTTTTACTGAATTTATCAGTAAAAAATATCTTAAAAATGCATTGATAAATATACTGGTAAAGCAATCCCTACATGGAATATACACAATGGGTTGAATGGATGTCTGCAGGCTGGTGACCTGATCAACATTTTATATGCTTGAAAGTTATTGTTTCAGTAGCCAATTTGGGATTGTTAGGAATTTGAATCTAGAGTTTGATCTGTCATCAATCTTTATAAACAATGACTTTGTGATTCTTTTTTCCTGGTATTCCTGGCATATTCAATGCCCATAGCAATGGATAAACTTTCTACGAACAAGAATAAACATAATTAATAACTTTTAATTTGATGTTTATTAAATAAACTGAAGTAATCAGTGCTCCTCCATTTAAACAGTTTTTGAAAAGTCAGTTTAGTCTTCTGTCATTGAAAATGTATTGTGTTAAAATCTGGATATTATTTACATTTTATTTTATTGATTATTTTTTTCTAAAAAATGACAATTCTGGTGGCTTATATCCCACCAGATCTAGTATTCCAATTATCTAAAGCAGTGCTTCCTAAAATTTTTTTATTCATGACCCCACTTTATAATGGATTTTTTCACAACCCTGGGCTGGGTATTAAATATGGGCAATATTATTCTGCTTGCAAATAAATATACATATATAAAAACCCAGTTTTAGGATTTGGTTTATGTATATAAATATTNTATCTCCCCCACACTATTGTTCAGCTTACATGTTCGGACGTGTCGCGCAGAATTGACACATAACTACAATTTATTTTGTGTTATTTATTTCTGTGTTTTATTATATCTACGGAGACTTGAAAGACACTATGTGGTGATTTCTTGTAACCGTGAATGAATCAAATGACGAGATAAGATTAACGAGAACATTTATTAGCTTACATACATTCGACTTGGATTTTACACAAATTGCGAAATTATACCCCGACTTACGCGGTTATTGCTCGGTCCCACCTATTGCATAAGTTCAGGGTATTACTGTACTGTACTTAGACCTATATGAATGTTTAATTTCAGATTAAGTGAAGAAAGAGGATGGGAGCTCATGTGGTTGTCTACAGGTCTTTTTGCTCCTAGTCAAACTTTATTGAAAGAATTGACCTTGTTTTTACGCACACGCAGGCATCCCATTGCCATGGATTCTCTTCAGAGACTTCAGAAAACACTCAGGTTTATTAATTAATTTACATAATTGAATTAACTTTAGAAAATCACATTACTTAAAAATAAATAAATTTATAGAACTGGACAGAGAAAATACCCACCACATTTGGTAGAAGTAGAAGCAATTCAACATAAAACTACACAAATTTTTCATAAAGTTTATTTTCCTGATGATACAGATGAAGTATGAATTATGACTTAGTAAATTTTAAAATAAGTTTAAATTAGTTAATATGTAATGAATTTAATTACAGGCATTTGAAGTAGATTCTAGTACAAGAGCCAAAGATTTTTGTCAGAATATTGCACAGAGATTAAATTTAAGATCTGCAGAAGGGTTTAGTTTATTTGTGAAAATTGCTGACAAAGGTAAATTCATTTAATGATTAAAATTCACTAAATATATTTCCAAAAATCATTTTTTTTTCCTACAAACTTAGTGATAAGTGTACCAGAAGGAGATTTCTTTTTTGATTTTGTTCGGCATTTAACTGACTGGATTCGGAAAGCAAGACCTACAAGAGATGGTTAATTATTTATTTTAAATATAAAAAATGTACGATTACTGTTTAGATGTTAAAGGCAAATTAAATTTTTATCAGGTTCAATTCCTCAGTTCACATATCAAGTGTTTTTCATGAAAAAATTATGGACAAATACAGTTCCTGGGAAAGATAGAAATGCAGATATAATATTTCATTATCATCAGGTATTTAAATGTTAGAATTTTAATATCTTAAAATTTGTCATTTATTTACAATACATCTACAATGTAGGAATTGCCAAAATTATTACGTGGATATCACAAATGCACTAAAGATGATGCAGCAAGATTGGCTGCCCTTATTTATAGGGTAAGATTTGGTGAAAGCAAAGTGGAATTACAAGCTATTCCGTATGTATTTTTGTATATTTAGTAAATAATAACTTCAAGATAGTTTGTTGATTAAATTAATGAGTATTTCGTTATTTTTTTTAAAGAACATTACTAAGAGAACTAATTCCTGCTGATATAATGAAAGTACAGAGCACTAGTGATTGGAAAAGAGTAATTACCCTATTTTGTATCAATTTAAATTATAAAAAAATTTCTTGGATTTAACATATTGATGTTTGCAGTCAATCGTTGCTTGTTATAATTCGGATGCTGGTCTAACTCCCGAAGATGCTAAAGTTAACTTTCTAAAAACAATATACAAATGGCCTACATTTGGCTCAGCATTTTTTGAAGTGAAGGTATTATTATAATGTCTTTGTTTATTACAAAGAACTTAAATATATTTTAAAATATCAATATCATTTATATTTATAGCAAACAACTGATCCAAGTTATCCAGAACAGCTTCTTATAGCAATTAATAAACAAGGAGTTAGTTTAATAAATCCAATATCTAAGGTGAGTAGAACCGTTTAAGAGTTTATTGATGATAAAAGTAATTTACCAATAATGTTTTCCTACGTATTTTAAATTTCAGGATATTTTAATTACCCATCCTTTCACTCGTATATCCAATTGGAGTAGTGGAAATACTTATTTCCACATGACTATTGGAAACTTGGTCCGTGGAAATAAGTTATTATGTGAAACTCCACTGGTAAATTTTAATATTTTAATCATTATGGTTGAGATTATTTGTTATTATGGTGTCTTATCATTCATAATTTTTTTAGGGTTATAAAATGGATGATCTTCTAACATCATACATCAGTTTAATGCTAACAAATATGAATAAGCAAAGGACAATACGAATTAAGAACTAAATGTAAATTTGTTTGCCCAAAGAAAAGTTGCTTGTTGATAAGTAATAGATTACTATGTAATCTATACTATTTGTTATTGATGTACAGAAAATTAAGTGCTCAGAATGAAATTTAAAGCTAATTAACATGCAAAATAACTACAAATTTGATACTCTGTATGTTATGTAATATTTAAAATTTTAATGTCACAGCCTCAATGTTTATATATTTTTACACACAAAATCATGTTTATTTTGCACGTTTGGTGCAACGTGAATGAAAAAATCATACATTCATCTTGCTCGGCAGGGATGCGGTCTACGTGCATACGTGTGTTTTCTTATTTAAATTCTCAAGTGCATCACAATCATAGCAACATTGTAGATTTTTTAAATTTTCTGAATAAAAATTTTGAAAAATTAATTATTTCATCCAATATAAAATAGTGAAATTAAAATTTAAAAATTTTAAGACAACTATTTTTGTCTTTGTCTTCAATTGTATTACACGTAGCCTGAAATTTACAATGTCTTTTTAAGAAGTTTATCATGGCATGAAAAAATTGCCAGATTAAAAAAATACCCACATTTAACTAAACCTTTAATTTCAAGTAACAAAATTTTTTTAATTTTTGGCCTTATCCAAGGTCTTCATCAGATCATCATCAATATTCCAAAATTGGAATGTGCAGAACAAAAACTTTTCAAAATATTTTTTTAAATATTGAATAGTTAGAACAAAAACATAATGTTGTAAAACAACAACAAATTAATCAGCTGCAAGTATACAATTAAACAAGATATAAATATAAGAAATAATAGTAATAGTAATTATTATTATTAAAATTTCTAAATTTAAAAAATTTTTGTTCTGGCAATTTTTTATCACATAATAGTTATTAATTTTGTTGGCAATTCTTGGTTTTTCATAAAAGCCATTACCAAGCATATGAGATGCTTTTTTCTGTATTTAACATTAATACAATTGCCAGTCAAGTTGGTTTATGCTTATGCTTTGGACCGGGGAGGTCAACATAGTTATCATGAATTATCATACATGGATCCTGGATGGATGAAAGATCTCCACCCCAGTCCAAAGCATAAGATGTGAGGGCAGTTATGCTTCAGACCAGAGGTGGAGTTCTTCATCTATCCAGGATCCTCCACTCTATGTATGATAAGATGCTTTTATGACATTTGGAGAAGTATGATATCTACAAGGCTTCTGTAAAAAATAGCCAGGCACCACACCTACTATGCGGCATGTATGATTCTAAATGAAGAAGTTTTTCATTGAATCGTTACATTCCACCTGAAGATGTGTACTGGAAAGTAGATGAAAACGTTTATGCAATTGTTTAATTGCTGGATTTTGGATTGACTTTGTGAGTAGTTTGTTTTTCTTTAGCTATACATAGACAAATAGTTTAATATATATATACAAGTTCTGTTTTTACTCATTTTATTGCAGATTTTTCATTTCTTGCATAGTTTGTTTCAATTTTAAATGTCTAATGAAAATGGATAATTAGATTTAAAAACTTTTTAAGTTTTCAATTCTAATGCTTATTTTAGTAGGGTGTCTAAAAATCCTGTAATAAGTTTTTTAAAAGATATTTTAAGTTCTTAATTTGTGAGAAAAAGTCTTATAAATTTTTCAATGCATTTCAAATAAAAATTTTGGAGAAGTTATTTAAAATTCATAAAAATTACTAGTCATATTAAAGCACAATTGCCCGAAAAGAATTTTCCTCTGCCCAATATACCATGTCTATACAGAGTCAGAGAGAAAAATGAACAATTTCGCATACCCTTATGTGAATGAACTTATCTTCTTTTTCCGAGTGGTTACAGATGCATTTACTACTATGTTTCTTAGCAGGCTTATAAGTTATGACTAATTTTTGGATTTTTGCAGTTTGGGTAAGAATTTTTGATCCCATCACCAAAATGAAATAAAATATAAGTGAAATATTTGGAAAAATATCATTTTATAATATGTGGTATAATATGATGGCATACATTCCATCAAAAATTTTGTAAATGTAGAAATAAATTTCCAAAAAACTATGGGAAATTTTCAAAAGTATCCTAGCTGTTTTGCTTCCCCCCTCTATGTACAAAATACTCCTCAAAATAATTGTAGAAGTTATTAATAAAATTCCATTTTTTCTTCTTGAAGCATCTTCAAAAAATCATTTATTGTTTTAATTTGATTTTCTGCAATTTTTAGAAGCATATGAGCAACTTTAGCATTACTAATGTATTTATTCCTAGATTCAAGGTATTTTTCTGCAGCTTGCACATCATTATGTAAGTCTTCTTTCTTTTTTTTTGAGTTTATCCAGTTTAGTTTGTATTTTTTTCCCTGTTGTTCTTCTGCCAGTTTGGCTTTCTGTAGTTCTTTCTCTACTTTTTTTACTTTCCCAGCTCTGTTATATATAAGGCAATTATATAGTATAAGGTTATATATTAAGGCTGTTATATAGTATGGCAATCAGTCAAAAAAATCACCCCCCACGATTGTTACACTTTTGGTCTCAGGACTTTGAAATGTCAAGAAATGCAAAAATTTGGGCGTTTTCTGTATGTTTCGATGATAGTGTGTGGGACACAATTTTGTTCACCTTTGAAGCTTAAAAGGGAAAAAAATTTGTGTGCTTTTTGTTGAAAATTTCTTAAATTTTGAAGTTTGTTTATTAGGAGATTGTTGCTATTAAATTTTGGTGGTGGGAGGTTGTGTGTCATATCTCGAATAGGGTTGGACTTAATGATAAATTTTACTCGTTATTAGCATTTACAATTTTTTTTTATAAAACCCATTCCTACCCTCAAAATGATATATTTAATTTTTATAAAATGGCAAAAAGCTTAAAAAGTTTTTAAAATAAAATATCATAATAGATAGTGCTATACAGTTTAAATGTTGCTGGATTTTTCTTTGCTCAACATTGTGCAACTTCTGCCTCCACTTTCTTTCTTTCTGTTAGATCTTTCTTGCTTGCTGGTTTGCATTCATTACACATCTCAATTTCCTTTGTAATGGAAATAGCAAGGACTTTTCCATTATACCATTTCACATAATCCTTTATTGTATGCTGTGCATTGAAGATATTGTGATTCATTTGTGACCAAGTAGTAGTTAACAAGTGTTTTGTTAATGGAGGAGCACTATTACATGATAATAGCATAAAAGTTGCTTTCACTAACAGATTCAAAAGCTTTTATTTCAGTTTACCAATATCTTACAAAATACCTAGTATATTTACCCACTAATTGTTGATACATTGATACAGCACACTCTCTTCTCCAGAATTCTCACTTACTCTGCTCTTAATATGACACATTGATTTTAATATTATCTCACCAAGAAATCATTTTACAAATCATTGTAAACATCTGGGTTTCTGTGAGAAAAATTGAAGAATATTGTGCATTATACTGTACAGTACATCCAAATAAGAGAATTTTTCAGTGGAAGTGACTCGGTAAATATAAGGTTGCCAACTTGTATGGATGGATTTTAGATCTTTCTAATAAGTTGCCACACTTCCTGAAGAGAAAAGTAAAGTAGATCAGCAGTTGTGCTTTTAAGGGACAAAAGATTTTAATTCTAAACATCAACTAAGCAAAGTTTCTTTCCTTCTTTTTCTTCAATAACTACTGGTCTACTTTACATTAAATTTCTAACAGATTCATTTAATTAATCTTCAAAGCAAAATCAAAATACCTCTTTGAAAAAGGAAAAGAAATCCTTTGAACAAAACACAATATTCTGATAAAATGTAGTACAAGTAAACTTGACTTGATTGATTCCTGTCACTACTATTAATTTTTTTTCATTTTACAGAGAAAGTACAAAACTAGAACAACAAATCTTTAACTTTTAGAATAGGTTGAAATGTATTTTGTAAAATAAAAGTTAAAGATAAAGATTTGCCTTTTTGACGATGTGGTTTTTCCATAACACAGAGAAAAGGATATGGTAGTGTCAGAAATCACTAGTACAATATAAGTATATTGGATAGCTTCCATTTTTTTCATCGTAGACCCAATTCATTTGAAAGTATTTTTGATTTTTGGTTATCTTGAATTGTCTTGATCCTTCTTTAATAAGACATCTTTAACATCTTTAAGAAGTGCTCTTTTAAAGTTTGCTATTAATTAATCAACTAATTACTGGGTCAAGACTCAAACAGATTAAATGATGTTGTTGTAAAAAAGAACTGAATGCCAAGATCTAGCATGTGCTGCATTTTGAACCAAGTCTGTAGCAAAATTAATATAAAAGACTAATTCAACAAGACCTTTAGAAAAAGCTGTTTGAACAGTATGAATGCTACAAGTTCATATCAATAAAAGTGAGAGGAGATAAACTTATTTCTTATGCAATCTTAAAATATTTGATCATCCATTGAAAGCATTGGCAAAGTATGTGTGCAGCTTCCTCACAGTGGTGCCAAAAAATGTTATAAAATTTTTATAATTTTACTTAATTTTAAAAATATTGGCTATTTTGGTTTTGCAAATTGTACTTGTTAGAATTTGACATAGGGCACCTTGGGAAAATCTGGATTTAGCAAGGGTGTGAGAATCAAAAAAGTTTGGGAACCACTGGCCTACATAATTGAATTTAATACTGGGCACTTCTGGTGTACAGTTTTTCTCTCTCTGAACAAATTATTAAATGTAAGAAATAAGTACAGGTATCCCTTATAGCAAGGTACACCAGAAGTGCAGTGTTACACTATACAAAACATAGGATTACATTCCAGAAGATAGTAATGAAAAAGAATAGTATACTTTTGCTAAGAGAAATATGTTTATTAAAGCAATCAATAATTTAATTCCA